CGATGCCTGTCCGCAGGCTGCGCTGCCCTTCAAGGGCAAGCGCAAGCGCAAGACGTTGGAGCAGAAGCGGGCGGTGGTGCTGGAGCCGGAGGAGCGCAAGAAGGTGGGGCGGCGCACGCACGTGGTGGCGTGTGGTGTGTGGTGGTGGAGGTGTGCATGATGGGGTGGCGCGGGGCCGTGGGGCCGCATTGCCCGAGCTCACATACAGGCCTCCCCTTGCCCCTCCTTGCCCCCTCCCCACCCCCCCCACCCCGCCCGAGCCGCGCAGGTGTCCCTGATCAGCCAGCTGAACGCGATCCGCAACCAGAAGGCGGCGGCGCGGCGGGAGCAGCGGGCGCGGCAGAAGGCGAGCCAGGCCAAGAAGGCAGAGGCGGTGGAGGCGTGGTGGAGGCGCAGTGCAACAAGTGAGGGGCGGGGGCTGGGCTTGCCCGTGTTGCCGAGCGCGGCGCTCGTGCGATGTGTTGGTCTGCCTGGAGGCCCGCTGGCGCTCTCTCCTCTTCACCCACCCACCCACCCTCACGCACCGCCGCCGCCACACACCGCAGGGAGGAGCGCAAGAAGCGGTATGTGGGGCTGGGCAAGGCGGAGCAGCGGGTGGCCAAGAAGCAGCGGCGCGACGACTGATCGCCACGCCTGGGCCTGCCTCCCACCTCCGGGCGGCAGCTCGACGAACCCTGGCCTCCTGTTGACCTCATCCCATGAGTGCCAGCAGCTTGTAACCGAAGCAGCGCACGCATTGGGCTGGGTGGGGAGGGAGTCTGGCGGGTACATCAATCTCTCTCTGTTCTTTCTTTATCTGAGGAGCCTCCACCCCATTCTGCTGCAGCACCCTCTCCCACTCTCTAGTACACGGCTAGCTTGCCACGCCGCCCACACCCGGGTCGCACACTCGCGCCTCCATCACCTCATCCTCTCCTGCACACAGAGGCACATGCCTTGCATTGCGAGGTGGCAGCAGCACACGCGCCAGCCTCGCTGGTGGCTGGCGGCTGGCGGCTGGCGGACCCGCCATAACCAGGCTCAGGCAGCCGGGACCCACCCGGGCTATTTCCGCTGCCGCTGCCCTCCTGCCCCGTGCCAGCCTGGCCCTGGGTGGCGCTGCTGCCGCCAGCGACGCCAGACAGACCACCGCCAGGCTCAGCCTCCACCACCGTTGCATGCTCATCGGGGGTGTCTGGCTTGGGGGTCACGCTGGCATCAAAGTCCTCGCCACCCTGCATGCAGGCAGGCATTGCGGTAGAGGGCATCGCATCTAGCGGAGGGCAGGGCCATGCCCGGCACCTCTGGCATACACAATTTGCTCAATGGGATGGCTGCCTCACCGGCTGCTCCCGCGGCGTGTACTGCACATTGGGGTCAATTCCCGGTGCCTGCTCCTCCCCAGCCGGCTGGGCAGCCCAGGCAGATGTGTGGAAGCCTCGCCCCTGCGCAGCATCCAGGCAAACACCAGGCAGAATTCGAGCTGGGCTTGAATGCTTCAAGCTCGGGTGAGCTGCTGCAGGGTAACAGCAGCTTGCCTGGCCAGGAATGGTGCCCTGCTTGCTGCCGGGCAGCACATCCTCGCCAACGGCAGCCGCCTCCGCAACTGCAGCACGCGCAGGACAGGTGCCACCTGGGCAGGCCAGCGCAGGACGGATGCCACCAAATCGCTGCCCCCAACATACCACAGCTGCGCGGCCCTCCAGCCCACCACAGGCGTGCCGCTCACCCGGCTTGGGCTCCGGCATGTCGGAGGCGGCATCCACATACTCCCCCGGCCCCCGCGGGCGCGCGGCGCGCAGTGTGTCGGGGCTGTGGTGCAGCGCGCCGTGGGTCTGCCCCTCAGCCGTTTGCGCCGAACGTTCCGACAGTGCCTGGGCTGCAGGGCGGCCAGGAAGCAGCAATGGAAGGACAGGGGCGGTGTACAACACAGCGCGCATGTGTGCACAGCAGCAGAGGCACGAGGCGCCGCCAGCTGGCCGCTCGTCCTCACCGCTGCCGGTGTCGCCGGGCGTGGCGGCGGCGCCCCTGGCCTGCTGCGGGTTCTCAAAGCCCTGGTCAAAGCGGATCTTCTCGCTAAAGTGGTGCATCTGCACGGCTGCATCACACAGAACAGGCAACAGGGGAGCAGCCGGGAACTCATCGCCGAGGGAACCAGCACATCAGTCGGTATGCGTTGGGGAGCGCCCCAGCGCCGCACCTGCTGCTGCCATCCCCTCACATTCTTCGTTCATCTTCACAACGTCCGGGCGCCCCACCTCCTTCATCTCCTGGGAGGTGCCGCTGTTGCCCGGGCTGCTGAACCCCCTGCGCGAGCGGGGATGGGAGGGGCAGGCCAGCGTTGCCGGGTGGGCAGAGCAGAGGGGACTTCCGCGGCCGGTGATGCCTCAACGGCTGCTGCGTCCCCTGCTCATCACCAGGATGCGCCCCGGACACTTACTGGACATCCTTCTCTGCCGCCAATGAGGCAGGCCTGCAGGTGGCCAGACCCCTTGGACGCAGTAGGGGCAGGCGGCCTGTGCGGCCCGCCAGTCCCAGCACAGCTCTGTGCATTATACCAGACTGCAGACTGACAGTGAGGAAGCCGGCTGGTGTCTGGGAGAAGTACAGGGAGGGAATCTGGTGTGACCTGGCGACGCGCTGCACAGCGCTGTGCCGTGCTCCAATGTATTACTAAAATAATCACGGATGTTGAGTTACATGTAGCACACAGGCAGCAAAATAGAACACTGTGCTAGTACAGAGCAGCCAGGTCCAGCAGGGCTTCAAACCAGGCGCCCTTGGGGCCGAGCCGGCTGGCAGCGTAATTGACAGCGCCCCGCATGTCTCCGCTGCCGGGCGCGGCGCCAGCCGGCTGCCCCTCCAGCCTGACCATCATGCGCCCGTCCCCCGTCACCCAGCGCAGCTGAGTGCTCGGCTCCCTGCGGGCACACATGCTCGAGCAAGTTGGTGGTGCTGCTGGTAGCAGGTGGTGACATGTGGCGCACCGGGCATATGCCTGGTGCAGCCCCGACTGCACCCCCCACATCCCATCAGCCCACTTCCCCATCCTCCCACCTGCCGGCCAGCATGTCGTCCACGCTGCGCGCCACGCTCATGTGCACGCGCCACCTGCTGCGGCTCAGCACCTCGACCAGGGTAGAGAAGGCGGGCTCGCCGCGCCGCTCCGTGCGCGTCTTGCTCCTGCCAGGGCAGTGGGCAGCAGGGAGCCATCGCAGCGAAGGGGTAACGGCACATCCCCAGCATGGACGGCCACAACTGCACAGCACCGAGGCGGCCTCAGGTACCAAGCCCGCAGCTTGTTACCCGTGGTTGGAGCGCCGTGCCTCCTCGTCTCCCAGCGTGACCTGGTGGATGCCGCCGATCAATCCGTTCAGGTCTGGGTTGCGCATGAGCGCCTTGAGGCTGCGACCGTGAGCGGTGCCCACCTGCAGGCATTATGGGCGAGAGAGCAGGCATTATGGGCGAGAGTGCAGGTGGGAGCATCGCACTGCGCAGCAGTGCAGGACTTGTGCAGGCTGCGGGCTCACCAGCACCACGCCTCGGTGCGCGATGCTTCGGCACGCCTCCACCTCCCGCGCAGTGCCAATCTCATCCACAATCACCACCTGCACCAGATGCCTAGTCAGTGCCAGCACGCCCCAGAAAGTTTGTGTGCCAGCATGCTGTGCCAGCAGCCAGATCGCGTGCTGGCCATTCTGGCTGCACACGATGAAGCTCACATCAGGCATGTGGTTTTGAACTGTTTCGATCATCACGCTGTGCTGCTGGGAGGGCACCATCATGCGGCGCGCGCTGCCAATGCAGGCATGTGGCTCGCTGCCGTCCCCAGCCACCTCGTTGGAAGTGTCCACAACAACGACCTTCTGGCTGCAGGGGAGGGAATCGGTGTGGCGTGCAGCTGGCGGCACATCGCTGCCTGGGAGCAGCTGTGGCATGCCCTTGCACGAGCAGCTGAGCGATGCACTCAGCCAAGTCCTTCTCTCACTTGGAGCTGCAATGCAAGCCCCACATCCCTGGCCAGGGCCCTACCTGAACGTGTCTGACAGCAGGCTGGCCACATCCCGAAGCAACGTTGTCTTGCCCACTCCAGGGCCACCCTGCAAGATGGATGAGCAGCAGCAGCAAGAAGAAGATGAATGGGCGCACGCAGCGACGCATCCATCCTGCGTATATATCCACCGCCCCGTGAATGCCCGCTGCACTGCACCGTTATCGTCCTCTGCCCCCACAGCGGGACACCCACACCAGCTGGCTGGCTCACCAGGAGGAGCAGGGAGGGCGAGATTGCGTCCTGCACCTCGTGCCCTGTGGCGTCATGGCCGCGGGACAGGCCGTGCAGGATGTCCAGCACCAGCCGCCCCACGCCTGCGGGCAGAGGGGGCGGATGTATTGACTGAATGATCCATGGTGCGGAAGTCCAGCAGTAGCGTGGGTCACATGATAATGAGGCAGGCATGTTGGGCATGCGCAGCAGACGTACTGCAGCAGGCGGGGGCGGCCCACCTGGCACATGCCTGCCCACTCGGTACGTCAGCCCCGCAATGCCGCCCTGCCTGTCCCGCATCGCGCTGACGCGGTGCAGCGTGCCCGGGATGCCTGCGTGCGCCGGGGTGTGGGGGGGCGTCATGCAGGCATGTCAAGCGGCGGGACTCGGGATGCATGCCCACGGCGGAGTGCCCCCGCTGCGCTGGCAGCTGGCCACCAGCTCGCTGCGCAGGCGCACCGGTGCGGTTGTCGGCGTAGAACAGGTTCGCGCCGCCCCCGCCCAGGCGCAGCCGCCCCTTGGCCGCCGCCAGGAAGTCCCCCATGTAGGATGCCGTGGACTTCCCGCCCCCGCCCAGGCGCAGCCGCCCCTTGGCCGCCGCCAGGAAGTCCAGGGCATCCTGCAGCAGGTGGGTTGTAGCAGATTCCAGCAGATCCATCCAGCCTGCTCTGCTGCCACACCACAAGTCGCAAGGGAGGAGCACGCTGCCCCCACATGCCCACCTCCACGCTCAGCTCCTCCTCAAGCACCAGCTCCGTCCCGCTGCTCAGCCGCACGCGCAGCGGCCGGCCACGGTCCACAACCGCCTCCACCATCTGCACACCCCCGCTGTACGCTTCCGCGGCGCTGGCTGTGACGGCGGCGTCAGCAGATTCAGCCTCCGCCAACGCCCCATTGTTGCCGCCAGCGGCAGCAGCGGTGGCTGCTGCCTGCGCTGCCGCCGACGCGGCCTCCTCCTCTGCTCGCAGCGCTGCCACGATGGCGGCGCGGATGTGCTCAGGAAACAGCTCCAGCACCAGGCGCGTGTCTGGGTCATCCGCCGCACCGCAGGGCTCCACTACTGCTGCCTCGGCCGGCAGGGCCACCGGCGGCTCGTCCTCCTCATCTGCAGCCTGCGCGGGCACAGCTGGGGTGTACCTGCACAGCAGGGGCCACACTACATTCACGGGCGAGACCCGCAGGCAGCTTCAGGGAGCTCTTAGCTACTCCCCTGAAATGCTCATCCTGCCTGCTGTCGTGCCCGCCTCGCGATCGCCTTGTTGTTCCCAGCCCGAGCACTTGCACCCCCATCCATGAACCTGCTCGGCAACCGCTGCCCCACAGACAGGAACCCCCGCCCGCCTACCTGGGCCTGTAGTCTGGCGGCTCAATGGCCATCTCCAGGTCCTGGCCCAGCGGCAGGCGCACCGCGGCTGCGTAGCTGGAGGAGCCCACGCCGCAGGAGCGGTCGCCTGCATCCAGGCACCACTCAGAGTAGGCCAGGCTGAGGTCTGGCACCTTGAGCGCCGCAGCGGGCCCCAGGTCAGCCTCCAGGCAGGCCTTGGCCGGCAGCAGCTGCCACACGTCTGCAACTGCAAGGCAGGGTGCGGAGAGGGAGAGCAGTGCAGTGGGAAGATGGCAAATGTAGAGCTTTGGAGAGTGTGGCCAATCATGCAGAGCTTTCGGAGTCACAAGGACCTGGTCAGCATTCACGGCTGTGGCTGCCCTGGCCGCCATGCCCGCCCAGCCACCCTAGGTACGCAGGCCACCTGCATAGTTCAGCACTTGGGCCTCTAGCGGGCGCCGTGTAAATAGGTGCGGCTCGCGGTCCATGCGTGCGTGCATCACTTTCTTCAATGGGTTTGGAGGTAGGTCGTACTGCTGCAGCAGAGCATTGAGGCCCACCGGGGCGTTGACCCCACCTTTGCTGCCGCTGCCCACGCTCGTCAGGAACTGGAGCAGCCCAAAGGCAACCTGCAGGCAGTGGGAGCGGGGGAAGGTCAGGGGATGGAAAAGCAGGTAGAACCACCGGGCAAATGGATGCTCGCTCCCTGCCCCTGCTTGCCTGCGTGTCCCAGACAGCGGCGCAGCGGATGCCGTGCAAGTAGAAGAGAGCCTCGCAGTCGCTGCGGCAGTCGTGCAGCACCTGCAAGCAGGCGGGGGCTCGGCGGGGTGAGGCACAGCGGTCATGTAGGCTAGGCCACATCAGACAATCAGCCAGATGAAGCACAGGGTGCCAGGCAGCCGTGCCTTGACTGTGTCGGGGCTCTCCAGCAGGCGTGCCAGGCTGCGCATCGCCCCCTGCCGCTCGCCCTCTGCCATGGCGTGCACGTCAAACACGTAGCAGGCAGCCGCCGCGGTGTTGTTGCCGTTAGCACTGGGGGCGCTGCTGCTGCCAGCAATGCCGTGGCTGCTTGGCAGGGCAAAGAGTTGGATGAGGGCGATGCTGCCGCCGCGCTCCAGGTCCCCTTCACAATCCATTGCAACTTCTCTGGCAGCCATCAGGCGCGCCACGGCCACCGCCGCCTGCTGTTCACTAGTCACCATCTGCACAGTGGGCATGTGGTCTACTCGCACAGCCGGAGCTGCCACGGATGCCGTGCTGCGGCCGTTGATGCCGCTGTATGCAGCCGCCGTGTGCTGCACGTCACGCCGTGATGCATCTGCTCCCACCTCGGCTGCCACCAGTTGCTGCACCAGGGGCCCTGGCAGTGCCGCCGCGTACTTTGTTGTCCCACTGAAGGTAAGTTTTGCCAGCCCTTTTTCCACCAGCTGCTGAAGTAGCTGCGCCATTGTGTAGCCAGGGGTCTTGTACAGCGCTCGAAGCTGGCCATTGACTGCCACTGCTGCAACTACTGCTTCTCCTAGCGGTGCTGCGTTCACTGCATGTAGCTGGTAGCCTCCGGCAAAACTTTCCTTGACCCCAAGCTCAACCAACCACTCGAGCACACACCGCTGCAGCGCAATGCCTGTCCCCGCGCCAGGAATGGCAGCGCCCGCCGCCGACTGCAGGCGGCTCCTGGCAATCTCCAAGCTTGTCACCCCCGTGCCAGCGGCGCCAAAATCTACGTTCCTCGGCATCGGGCCTGCAAGAATTGCGCTCTGTGGGGCGCCATCAGACGGATGATGGAGGGCGCTTTGTGATTGAGCTTGGTCCTCACCTGCCCTGCCCTTGATCTAACTCGTTATCTACTCCCGGAGATATGGTGAAAGTGCAGCGTTGAGTTGTAGACGCTGAGATGGGGCCACTGGCACCTGTGGGCAACAACACGGTCAACACGGGCAACACTTTGAAGTGGTGATAATGAGGCGCAGACCTGCCGGTCGATGTATTATGATTGAAATGAGGAATAAACGCGCGAAATCGCCCTGCTCTGCGTGCGGCCATCTCCTGCTCTGCATGCTTCGCGCGCCGGAAGAAAGGGAGAAGCTGCCCATGTGGACCAGTGCGCGCCTCCACACACCATCTCCTGACCCCAGATTAAGAACCCCATCCAGCCACAAGGAACACCATGCTGCATCTCAGGGCGCTGGGCAGGGCGGGCAAAGGCCTGGCACTGCGCTCCTCCGCCACCCTGGCCTGCGCCGCCCCCGGCAGCGCTGTGGCAGAGCAGGCCGGTGCCGCTGCCAGGGGTGGCGGCTGGAGGAGTTTGCTGGAGGGGTATGGTGGCGCCGCCTCGCGGCTGACTTTCGCCTTTGGCGGCAGGGAGCAGGACGAGGAGGGTGCCTCCAAGGCTGGCACCGCAGCACCTTGGGCTGCCAGGCCGCTGCACACGGGTGGGGCAGCCGGCCGGCTGAGCGAGGAACCTTGGAGCCTCGCCCCGCTGAAGCGTGGCCAGCTGCGGTCCAAGGCCGGGATGTCGTTTCCTAGCCCGCCTGCCATGGCGGCCTCTGTGCAGGTCCCGGGCTGATGGCGGCACAGCAGCAGGGCAGCACCTTCAACAACCCCGACGCCACCGCCAGTGAGCCGCCGCTGCTGCTCCTGGTGTCTCTTCCTGTGGTTGGACCGCCAGCCACAGGCTGCCCATCTTGAGCGACCTGTCCACACCATTGGTAAATCACCCCTGGCTGCCTCAGGGGAGGCAGGGCGCCCCACCTCTGGCGGGCCCAGCGGCGTTGGCGGCGCCGCCGGCGGCTACTCCCTGCTGGGCGCGGCGCACGCAGGCCTGGCCGCCTCCTGCTTCCTGGCGCCCACCGCCATCGCCAACTTCTTCTTCCCGGGTGAGAGCAGCGCAGGGTGATCACACGCTGGGTGGCGGCGTGGTGGCGCTGAGGAGGGGCAGGTGCCGACCAAGGCTCCCCCAGCGCGCACGTCCCCACCGCACCGCCCTCGTGCCCCGCCCTGCCCCTGCAGGCGCCGCGCTGCCACAGGGCTTTGAGTCCCAGGCTCTGGTGAAGCTGCTGGGGTGCGGCGCGGGCGTGGGCGGCGCCGCCTCGCTGGGCCTCAGGCAGCTGGCCGACGGCGGCCAGCTGGCCTCGCCCACCGCCCACCGCCTGCAGCTGGGCCTCATGGGCTTCTCCTCGGGTGGGCGCCAGCCTGACCTGTGTGCACACGCTTCCCTGTGGTGCCCAGCTCGGCCGCTTGCTTGCCGTCAGGCATCATAAGTCCCACCCTGCCAGCCTGGCTGCTGCCCTGGCCCCCCCACCCCGCTCGCCCGCAGGCGCCATCGCCCTGCACGCCCTCTACTCTCCCTCCATCACCCTCACCTCCTTGCTGTCTGGCGCCGCCGTCATGGGCACCACTTTCCTCATCCCCTACAACGTGCGTGTAGCGGGCTGGTCCCCTGCGGCTGTCCTCCCGGCAAGCTGGCCTTGCTGCCAAGGGGCTGCCCCTGCCTCCCTGCCTGCAGCACTATGTGGCGACCAACGGGGGCTTGAAGGTGGGGGAGGCTGTGAAGAGCTACTTCGGAGCAGTGCCCGACCACCTCAAGTGAGCCGGCGGCAGCTGCCACGGACTGGAGCTGTGCCAGCCAGCCAGCGCCGGCATCATGCTCGCTGCGCGGGGTGCCTTCCCCTTTGGCTGGACGCGTGCTTGGTATCTGAGGCACCGCGTACAACCTGTGCGGCCCCGCCCCCGGCCTCCTGCAGGATCACCGGGCTGCAAAGCGGCCTGTACTCGCTGCTGACTCCCGTGCTGGCGCTGGCGGGCGCCTCCTACCTCTTTGCGCCGGGCATGAGCCTGGCGCAGGTGTTCGGGTGGGTGCCAGCAGCCTGCCGCCGCTTGCCTGGCCTGGCCCGCTGCGCCCAACCCCTCACCCTGCGCTGTGACCCTTTCACTCTTGCCTCTCCCACCCCAGGTTTGTCAAGGGAGTGGACACCTTCTTCTGGTGGCAGTGCGTGGGGGGCGGCCTGATGACTGTGGCTCCCGCGGTGACGTACAGCCTCAAGGCAAGGCGCGGGGGGGAGGAAGGGTGCTGCAGGGGCCACGCATGGCAGCACAGTTGGCAATGCATGCAACTGGACCCCTCCTGATGCTGTGTGGCACCACCGCCGGAGCGTAACGGCCAGCTGCCAGTGGGTACCGCTCTGGTGTGTGTCCTGCCTGCCGCAGAAGCTGGCGGATGGTGGGCGCCTGAACGAGCCGGTGGCCAAGACCCTCAACGCCGGCGTCATGGCAGCCGCGCTGGGGCACCTGGCAGGCAAGGCAGCGGCAGCGGCAGCGGCAGCAAGAGGCGAGGTGTCCCCTGTGCTTGCGGGCTGCTTCAGCTGTCAACCGTCCACGCCGCCGTGCTCCCCCAACTCCCTGCAGTGCTGGGCCCCATGGTGGCGGCTAACCAAGGGGGCCCCATGCTGCCGTACGTGGTGGGGGCCTGGGCGACGGCGCTGCTGACTGGAGGCATGGGACTGTTTGGTGGGGGCGCCGCCAAGGCCGCCGCCTGAAGGCCAGATGAAGCACTAGCGAGTGTAGCGCTTTGCAGGATTCTTCAGCTGACAAGCTGCAGATCGGCAATGGTTGTGTGCTGCCGTGTAAATGACTAAAACGCGGGCCGCCGCGGCCAACTGCGAGCACTACAGCATGCCCTTACGTCACGCCCTCTCGAGATGGGGTCGAGAGAAGACTTCTTAACGGGCTCCCTCCCTTTCGCTTCACTTCAGCACCGCACCCAATCAAGGTCGCTACAGCTCTGTGCAGCTCGAGCCCGCACTGACCAACCCAAAGGGTCCGGGCCCCAACTCGCCAAGTGAGGGCTTGGCCTGTGCCGAGAGAGCCGCACAAGCGCAGCAAAGCGAGGCAGTGGCTGCCGCAGCCTGGAGGCCTGCCGCCGGCTGGCGCCCGCTGGCGCCCACGGGCCGCCCACTTCCCCCTCGCCACCGTGGGTGCAGGATGTGCTACCCGACAACCTGCTCTAACTGCGGCAAGCCCACGTGGTATGATGCTCGATATTCTGCAACTGCACTGCACCGTTTCCCCAGCCAAACACCGCTGCCCGATGAGGTGTGTCACTCCATCCCAACGTGGTGTGCTCTTGCAGGGGGGGCTGCGGACAACACATCGACAGGTGTGCAGCTAGGCCAAGGCCTACGTCAGATGGGTGCCCCCAGCCTGCCTGTAGCGTGGTGTTTGGTGGCAAGTTTGTTTGGTGGAAAGTGTGTGCCCGCTCCCCCTGGCCAGCCACACGCATCGAGATCAGAATCGTGGACCTGCTGGTGCAGCGCGCTGTCTGGAACCCCGGTGGAGCAGAGGTGCAAGTGCAAGGCGTCCACTCAGGTGCCCGCCCCTAGCGCCCCCTGGCCTTCGAACCACCGATGCACACACCAAACCAATGCGCCGTACCGAACATGCTGCTCGACGCGCTGCCTGCCACTGGTTAGGCTGTTGCCTTGGAGACATCTGAGCCGTTCTGCTCTCTCGTTGCGCCACGTCATCACCCCCCGATCCGCTGTAAATCGGCGTCCCGCAGCGAGTCCGCCACATTTTCCGCACTTCGGGGCCATTCCGGCCAGCCTTGGAGACATCTGAGCCGTTCTGCTCTCTCGTTGCGCCACGTCATCACCCCCCGATCCGCTGTAAATCGGCGTCCCGCAGCGAGTCCGCCACATTTTCCGCACTTCGGGGCCATTCCGGCCAGAACGACGTGAGACGTTGCCGAAAGGTGCTTGCCCTTTGCACCGTATCTCGAGGTTCGAGAACCCCATCCGCCAGACTGGCGACCTCAAGATTTACGCTGCCCAGCGCGCCTGGCTTCACTGCGTACCGTTTCTCACTACGCAGGTAGGCAAGAGAACCAGAACTCGCTTGGCAGGGTGTTTGGGTTGCTGCTGGGAGCCCGCCAGGCAGTGTGCCGCGCACGGCGCACTTGTGATGCACGTGGCGAGTGAACTAATGACACAGCTTTGTGATCGGGGCCGTGCTCAGGGCCGCTTGACTGGGCATGCGGCACCATCATGCCGCATGGCTTCTCGAACCGGCGGCACCCGGTGTGCCAAACAGTGACGCTGCGCCGACAATTCTGCGGTTACTGACCTTGCACATATGCGCATACGCACGCGCGCTCCGCTTTACCCCATGTGTGCAGGACTCTGCTGCCGTCGCCTGCCGCGCGTCCGCGCAGCTGCCACCCACCCTGCAAAGGTGCGAGCCTAGCTGCTTGTTTGCTACGGTTCCCTGCTGCTAGTTGAAGGGGGTGGACAAGCCCTGCCCTGGGCCGCTCAGGGCTGACATTGGCGCAAGTGTGCATGCCGCCTGCCTCGCTTGAGAGCAGGTAGGCCTCCCGATCACCGGTCCCCTCCTGGCGGGGGTCATGCATCCCCCACCCATCATGCATTTCAGGCTTCATCTCCCTCAAACCTCCACCATTTTCCCTCTCGTTTGTCGTGATCGACTCCGGGTAGCCCAAATGCTTCATGACTCCCCCCAAGCTGCACATCAGCGTGCATGAGTCCAACCCTGGGAGGCGCCTTGACAATGAACAGCCGCGCAGGCAGGCATCTAAAAGACCAGGTCAGGCTCCTCCTATAAATCATCCCGGGCAGCGCAGCCGGCGCCATGCCGAGGCGGGGCCAAACACCTCGAGCAGCAGCGGCTGGTGGAGCGAGCGGCAGCAGCGCAGGCACGATGCTTGGGACGACAGGAGAGAGGCGGACGAGCAGATGATGCTGGCCACCACACCGCAGCAAGGCTGGCCGCAGCTCCTAGGCACAAGTGTGTTGACTGATGCAATACATACGGCTGTGCCATCAACCCCTGTGCAACAACCATACACGCTTTTCGACAGGATGCACTTGCAGTGATGCAAATGGAACATGCATGAAACAATAGCAATCAAAAGATGTGTGATGGCAGTTGTCGCTTAAGCCGTCGCTGCCGCCAGGCGGCACACGCCTGGCTGCTCGTGCTCCCACCGCAACACAGTGAAGCCCGCCTGCTCCAGCTGCTGCCGCACCGCCGCCACATCTGGCACCGGCGCCTCCACGCACAGCTTGCCGCCAGGCTTGAGCACCCGCCGCAGCTCCGCCAGGCTCTCCTGCCGCCACCAGCTGCCCGCCAGGCCGCCGCTGCCGTCTGCGAGCTGCACGCCAGGGCCGCCGCCGCTGCCGCCGCCGCTGGCCGGCGCATAGTACACGGCGGCGTCAAACAGCGCGCCCATGGCCCTGAGCTCCGGCTCCAGCGCCCCCGCACCCAGCGCGAGCGGCTGCAGCTGCACAGCGGGCAGGCCCCGCCGCTGCGCCGCCGCAACATCCTCGTCCACGCCAATCACCTGCAAGGGGTGGTAGCAGGGAGGTATGTGTGGGGCGGGTCGGCAAGTGAGATGCAGGAGGTGGAGATGTGGAGATGTGGCGGTGTGGCGATCACCGCCGCTATGGCGCAGGAGGCGGGGAGGCGGAGGAGGGAGCTGGTGAGCCCCTGCCACATGATGCTGCGCCGCGCCCCGCCCAGCCCCCTTGCCTGCAGCCCGCTGGAGAACAGCAGCTTGGTGAGGGCGCCGTTGCCGCAGGCCAGGTGCAGCACGCGGTCGCCGGGGTGGTCGTCGGGCGGGGTGCCAAACCGGGCGCCGTCGATGCGCGGGAAGCTGCACTTGGCGGCGTTGAGGACGGTCAGCGCAAAGATGAGGAAGTCGAGGCCTTGCGGGGGCGCCCCCGCCATGCTGGGCAGCCCGAGCTCGTCGCCGTCGCTGTCGGAGGAGGAGAGGCTTGGCGTGGTGCCGCCGCCCGCGCCCCACCCCAGCGCCGTGTCGCGCTGCGCCAGCCGCTGCTGCAGCTGCGGCAGGGAATCGACGGAGAAGGTGGGCACGGCGCCCAGCGGGGGCGGCGCTGCGGCGGCTGCTGAGGTCTCGTTGCCGCCGCCTGCAGCAAGGGGGTAGGAGGCACACCGTGGCTGGTTGAATGAAAAACAGCCGGCCAATGGAGGATGGCGGCTGAAAGAGTGCCACCCTGGCGTGTGGTGCTGCGGGAGCTCACCCGCAATGAGGGCTGAGGCGGTGCCCGCTGCGTTGGCCGTCTCAATGTCTTCAACAGAGTCGCCCACCATCAGCAGCTCCCAGGGCTGCACTCCCCACGCCTGCACCGGCCAGAGAGCATTGGGCACATATGGCGGTCGCGGGCAGGTGCGCAGGCCGGTGGGCGGGCAGGCCAGCAGGGGCGCCGCCGCACCTCTGCAAAGTGCAGGAGGCAGCGCTTGTCGGGCTTCACAAAGGGGAAGTTGTCCCGCGTCAGCAGGATGTCAAACACGGAGCGCCACTCCTCGCCGATGGCGGCGAAGAAGGCGTTGAGGCTGGCGTCGGTGTTGCGTGTCACCAGGCCCACCCTGGCCCCGCTGCCCCGTAGGAAGGCCAGAAGCTCCAGCAGGCCCGGCATGGCCTGCAGGCCCGCCGATGCCTGCGCCTCCAGCTCCAGTATTGTGTCCATGGACTGCTTGATGCGCTCCCCGCTGTCCCAGCTCTCCATCACCTGCGCACGGTGCGCGCACAAGCCAGTCGAGGAAGGCAGCGGGCAGGGGGAGCTGCCGTCAGCGGATCCCTGGCAGCAGCGAGTGGCACCCTCCAAACATGCATGTTTCGCAAACACATTGCGCCCTACCGTGAACAGGTCTCCCACTGGGATCAGCGTCTTGGCCCGCATCGTCGCGTAGTCAATGTTGGACTGAGTAAGGGTGCCGTCCATGTCAAACACGATGCCTGCACATGCACTTCATGGCCATGTTGCACAAACAATCTAGTGCACACACACAGGCACACAGGATGGCTCGGGCTGGCATGCCACCGCAGTCGCGCACCCGAGTAGATAACCAGCGGCGAGTCGGCAGCGGCGGGTTGCGGCACTTGCGTGGTGCTTCCAGGAGCTGCATCGGTCGCTTGCAACCGCTGAGCTAGACGCCTGGGTGCCTGTGTCGACGGGTGTGATCGACTTTTCGGCGGGTTGCAGCCATTCCGCCTTGCATGTGGTGCACCGACCAAATTGGTCCATCGTGCTGTCTGCCGGCAGGGCGAAGCAATCATCTCTCATGAATTGCTCTAAAAACGGCAGGCGAGCGGCTCTGCGCGCGTACCGTGGTGCATCGTACATTTGTGTACCTCAGAGATGCAGCGGGAGCTTGCTATCTCCTGCGTAGCTCTCTCATTGAGCCGTGGCACAGTCTGACCCGATCTCTCTGGTTGGCCGCAAGCTGTTTGCCCCGCCCTGAACAGGTGGTGACCTCCCGGCTCTGCGGGAGCGCCCTCTCAGCGCCCCGCCTGGCTGCAGGAGCTGTAGGAGCCAAGTCTAGGCAAGAGCTGTGCGGCGCAGGTATGGGGCGTCCTGCTCTGCAGCTTACCCTCGGTTGCCCCGGCGCGGTGTGGGCAGCGGGCGGCTCAACCCGCCAGCCACCGCCCACTCTCTTGGTTATTTGGTCCTTCCGATAAGTTTTTGCTCTGGCCTTGCCCGGCTCTGTAGCCCAGCTCTTTCTTCTGCAGGCCTTTCCGCAATCCGCCCGGCGCCACGCGCGAGGTGCATCGGCGGCAGACCCTCGGCCTGAGTCGCCACCGCCCGTCTGGACACGCATTTACGCTATGTTTCCCAGTCCTGGCAGATGATGGCGGATTAAAGTCGGAGATAATTTACAGGCTGTCAGAAACAGGAAAAGGAATTGGAATGAAATGGCTGCATGTGGCCCTGCATGAAGGCCCTGCGGCGCCTAGCAATGGCCGAGCCGCTTGTCAACGTTGCAACAGTGTGTGGTACCATCGGTCGGCTGCCTTGAGGTCACATGCCGCCCTCGGCACCGATGCTCTTGGCAAACTTGATGAACACCTGCAGGCAGGCAGCAAGTCGTGCGTGGCTCGACAGGGAAAGCCAACGCGGCAGGCAGGGATGCACGGCACGGGGCGTGCCTTGCCTGCACACATCCAGCTGCTCGCTCGCCCCTCACCTCCTCCAGCGTTGCGTTGGACACCCCCCAGTCGAGCACCGTCACCTTCTTCTTGGCCTCCTCCATCACAGCAAACACATCTGCGTGCAGACGGGCAGGCGGGCGGCAAACATTGAGGCATGGGTCCACCCAGTGGCACCGAGCCCCCCAGGGCAGCCCTGCACCTCGAGCGACCGGCGGTGCAGTTTGAGGGCTTCTGCAGCCGCGCCCATTCCCCACACATTCTCCACACATCCGATACAAGGATGCAGCAGCGGCGGCCTGCTAACGTCGATGCTGCCGCCCTGCTTGCCTGGCAGCGTGACCTCCCCCACCGGCAGCTCGTACTTGCGCGTGCCCGCCAGCGCGTACGTCAGCCGCGCCCCGGGGCTCATGCCCAGCACCAGGGCGTGCGCCGCCGCATCCTGGTGCGGCGGCGTGGTGATGGTGAAGATGTAGTACCCGCCGTACCTGCTGGTCAGCTCCTTGGGGTTGCCGATGCACACCAGCGTGCCGTCCACAAAGATGCCCAGCCGGTCGCACAGCACGGTGGCCTCCTCCATGCTGCACAGCGGGCACAGCGCGCAGGTGTGCATCGCGGGTGTGCATCACGGGTGCGAGCATGGAGAGCAGCAGGTCTGGGGAATGCCAGGGCTGGCCCCCTGCCTGCCAGCACTGGGCGGAGGGCCAGAGGGAGGCGCCACAGCGGCAGCGCCAGCCGGCTCCTGCTCCCCGCCCACCTGTGCGTCGTCAGGATGATGGCCCGCTCCTGCTTGGCGGCCTTGACCACGCTCCACAGGTTCTGGCGGGACGCCGGGTCCAGGCCGGTGGAGGGCTCATCCAGGTAGACCACCAGCGGTCCGCCCACAAAGCTGATGGCCACCGAGAGGCGCCGCTTCATGCCGCCGCTGTACTGCCGCACCTGCGCACGCCCGCGCACCAGCAGCAGGTTTGACCCCAGAGCTGACATATGCCAATGCAAGAAGGAGTAAAACCGCGGGATGCTTTCGAGCGCTGGCATCCCGTAGCAGCCCCCTGCCACGAGACTGCCGCCGCACCTGCTTGTCTCCCACGCCGCCGTTGTACAGGTTGACCTTCTGCAGCGCCTCCTCCACAGCCGCCGTCAGCTGCTGCCCCTGCACCACAGCAGAACACCAGCAGGGTGCCAGCAGGTTGACCAGGGCCTGGGCAGCGGCAAATGTGTGTGCCAGGCCCGGCAGCAGGACCAACACGCGGTGGGCGTGTGGACAGGAGGTAGGGGTGCGTGCCTTGAGGTTCTTCAGCCGAGCGAAAAAGGTCAGGTGCTCCCGAGCCGTCAGCCGCTCCCACAGCAGGTTGTCCTGCAGGCGGAGCGGGGGGGCAGCAGGGGCGGTTGGTGGGCAGCCCATCGGGCCCTGCCAGGCCGCCCGACAGACAGACTAACCGCCCGCCCAGCCAGCCGCTCAGCCAGGTGGTATCACCTGCGGGCAGACGCCCATGAGGGAGTAGATGGTGGGCATGTCGCGCTGGATGTCGTGGCCCTCCACAATGGCGGTGCCTGCGGGCATGGGAGGCGAGGTGAGGGGCAGGGGGGGGGAACGTGGCGGGCCCCGTGCCCGGCCGAGGCGCGCAGAAAGTGCGACAGCGCAGGCATCGCGGAAGCGGCTGGGCGGGCGCAGCCACAGCGCATCGCGGAAGGCCCCACCTTGCGTGGGGTCCAAGAACCCGGTCAGCACGTTCAGGGTGGTCGACTTGCCGGCGCCGTTGGGCCCCAGGCCAAAGCACTCGCCGCGCTCAATGGCCAGCGTCAGCCCGCGCACCGCCTGCTTCTCCCTGCGCCGCCAGGCAGGCAAGGCGAGAGACGGGCAGAGGCTGGTTCCAAGGTCTCATCAGCCCGGGGTCCCGCCGCAGAGCACCGCAGGGGCCACGGGCTCCCACCGCAGAGCATCCAGTGACTCCACGCAGGATGGGCGCCATCCCTACCTGCCGCCAAAGGGCGCAGGGAAGGTCTTGTGGAGGTCCTTGATCACGATGGCGGCTGCGTTGCTGGCGCCAGGCGCAAGCCCCTCCACACGCAGCCGCTCCTCCCGCACATCCTCCGCCTCCACTGGGATCTGCGTGGGGGGCAAAAGCAAGGAGAAGTGAGGCCGCTAGACCCGTGCAGCGCCCACCAGAGAGTGAGAGGCGAAGTGTGGGAGCAGGTGTGCGGGCCGGGCAGCTGCCGGGTCGGGGTCTGCCTGAGGGCCACCTGCATCCTCCAGCCAGCCAAACAGCGCACCGTGACCGCATCCTCGCTGCCGCCGGCGTGCTTCCGTGCCTTCTTGGCGCCGCCACGGAAGCGTCCCAGGAAGAAGAGGGGGTGCCTCCTCACCCCCACCCCCGTGTCCACCACCTGCTCCAAGTACCTGCAGGGCAGCCAGCCAGCGCATGCACACAGAGAGAGGGGCACTTGGAAACAGCAAAGGACACGCACGCGAGCTGCCAGCACGTAGCGCACGGCACGTGGCGCACAGCAGCCAAGCTCGCAGGAGGGTGAGCCTGGCTGCTGCGCTGCCTGCCCCGCCCTCTCACCACGCCAGCACCATGAACACGACGGCCTCCACGGCAAAGATGACCATCACCGCCGGCAGCCCGTTGTTCTCGTCCGACAGGCTGCTCCAGGTGATGCCGGTGTTGTCCTGGGTGTTGGCCCGGAAGGCGTACTGGCTGATCTCGTACAGGCCGCGGTACAGCGCCCACCCAGGCACCAGCTCCAGGAAGATGACCCTGCATGGCAGCCAGGCGGGGGCGGCGTCCAAACAGGTGCGTGCGGCGAGAACGGGGTGTAGCACCAATACAACAGCAAGCATGGTCGCTCACCACCAGTACGCCTCAGATATGAAGGTTTGGAGAAGCAAGATGCCCACCAGGCCGGTGCCAAACACATACAAGAAGCCCACCACCACCGCTGCGGCAGGCACACGCGCACGGCGGGGCGAAGAGTTGTTGGTGCAGCCAACGGTAGAGCGGCCAAAGTGGAGGAGGGGCGATTTGAGAGCCACTGCAGAGATGGACGTGCAATTGGCCCACCTGTCTTGGAGGAGCGGAACAGTGTGCTGAGCAGGAAGGTAAAGGCCAGCAGGCAGTTGATCCACAGCAGGTAGAACACAAACTGGAATGAGTAAGAGGTCAGGCGGAAGAAGCTGAGGTTGATCAGGCTGCAGCAAGGAGTGGGGCACGACAGCAAGCAGTGGGGCACGTAAACAAGGCAAGGAGTGGGGCACCCCTGCCCGTGGGGGAACGCTTTTGGTGGTGGGGGCCTGCCACGCCCCCTGCCGCACTCCTGCCCACCTCCCCGCCCACCTCCCAAAGCCGATGAGGATCCAAGTAAAGGTGAAGTTGATGACGAAGAACCAGCAGTACTGCGGCAGGAACAGGGCGGGAGTCGGTGAGCGCACGATGTACCGGCGGGAGGCAAGCCAGCAGCCTGCTGCATGCACCGCGGGGGTCCCACCACTCTGGGCTGCCTGCACCCTGCCCAGCCTCCTACCTGGATAGCCCAGTAGGCTGCGTCCCCCAAGCCGTGCATCTTCATCATGTTCCTCAGCCGCTGCACACGAGGGCAGGAGCCGTGCGGGTAAGGCACAGGGAGTCGCAGCAGTGCAGCAGCTGCCACATGGCACGCGAGAGCTGCCTGGTGGGCCTGGTCACCGGCCACCCACCTTCTCCTTCTCGTAGACCAGCTGGTTGAGCATGGGCGGCAGCAGCAGCTGGAGCAGCCAGCAGAAGAAGAGGGGCCCCAGCAGGGAGCTGAAGTCGAGGCTCAGACGAGAGCCGCCCTACACGCAGGGAGGGTGTGGGGAAGGAGAAAGAGGTGGTGGTGGGTTGGGGGTGGGCAGGGCAGGACAGCAGCTGCCAGCCATCCCACCGCCCAGCACCCCGCCAACAGTGGGCCCAGGCGCAAAGTGCACTGCTTGGCGTGGGCGGCAGCCGGAAGGCGAGGGTATGCCCCGTGGCATCCCACCTTGGGCATCTCCTGCACACCCAGCAGCCAGGCCTGGTAGCCGTCGCTGCCCAGGGACCACTTCAGGAAGGCGTTGACCGCGCGGTTGATGCCCTGCGTCAGGAACGACGGCCGAAAGGATTCCCCATCAGGAGCAGGCGAGGCGTGTGGGGCATGCCCAAGGTGTGCTTTGACCCGATCGCGGCAGTGCGCCGTGGACTGTGCCAGTGCAAGGAGAGGCGCGCCTGGTTGACACGCAGGATGGTGGGGGGGCCTTCTTCCGCGCGCGCCGTGCCATTGTAGAACAGGCGCATGTTGAAGCTCCTGCACCGTGTGGGCAGGCGGGGCAACACAGGTTGCGCCAGCCGGCCTCAAGTGAAAGGTTTGCGGGCGGGCAGCAGGTCAAGCCTTACGTCCTGCTGGTGTTGAGAAACGACCATGCCTGGACAGCTGGGGTGCCATCACACCGCGCCTGCAGGGCAGGCAGCGCGGGAGGTGCGTGAGACGCTGGAGGGAGGGGTGTGGTGTTGGCCTGTATGTGAAACATCATCCAGCGGCCACGCGGGCAGCGCACGCACATCGCGGTATGCGCAGTACGTCTGGCTGTTGATGTCAGATGCATTGTCTGCCCATTGCGCGATGACCGACATCGTACTGCGTAATGGGGATCGACAGGCAGGTCAATGACCAGCTGGGATCACATGTGCAGATGCAGCAGGGGCATGCATGCAGACAAGGCAGACGAGAAGCCAAGCCTGTACCGTGGGTTGCATGCAGCGAGCTCCCCGAGCGGCCCACTCACGTGGCGGCGGGTGCCGTGAAACCAGCTGAGGCAGCACGGTCCAGGTAGCTGGTCAGCGTGTTGGTCGCATTGACTGCACCTCAGCATGGGAACAGCAACATGGGCGGATCACAACACCACTTCGCCGCGCAAGCACACCTCTCACAACACAGGGTCCAGCACGGGAAGCCATCAGGCCCCCTCCATGCGCACCCGAGGAGGCATTGGCTGCATCCTGCACCATGTTGAGTATGGTGGCGTTGTAGCGCTCCGCATCCACAAACGCGGGCTCCAGGTAGAGAGACAGCATGTCTCGCCCGCGCTCCGTGGTGCCCATGACAATGCCCAGCAGGCTGAGACCCGAAGCGTTCGCCACGCCGGCGGCGTAGCCCTGCGCCAGGCTGCTGGTGGCCGCCGCCTCGTCGCTGCTGGTCACGACGGGGTTGAAGAACAGGCCGGCTGCCAGCAGGTCGGCTATCGCGCGGTCGTCGCCTGCGCCGCCACAGGGTTGCCGGGTTGGCCCATGCGCGGGCGGGCAGCATCACCCATGCGCGGGCGGGCAGCATCACCAAGCACAGCCATTCTACCGCACTCAGCACCGCCCGAGTTGGCCCCTCCACTGCTGCCGGCCCACCTGTGTAGAGGCCTGTCGAGTTGAGGGTGGTGGTGTCCGGCGTCACGTCGGTTGTGTTGTAGCGCGGCGCTTGCATCAGCGCGGGCCAGGTGCTGGGCACGGGGATGTCGCAGAAGGCTGCCTGGCTGCTGGTGGAGTACTGCTGCCCGCATCTGCTCTCATCGTACTGCTCGCACTCCTCCCAAGGCTGACACGCATTCTCTGTATGGCAGGCAGTGTGTCCGGCAGGTGGCAGCAAGCAAACGGTGACGAGCCGAGGCGGCATGCTGGCCCCACCGTCGCAAGTCTCTCCACAGCAAGCAGTGGCAGGCGAGGGTGGTGGCAAGCAGCCTGGCGTTCCCATGGAGGTAAGGGGTCGTGCCTGGGCTGCTGCTGTTGAAGGCCTGCTGCGTGCCGTTGACCGTCTTGTAGCACAGGTTGCAGTAGCAGCCGCACTGCAAGCATTACGGCAGGAAGGGCCACAGCGGGTGGGATGCCACCCTGCCCCAGCTCGCGCACGCCTTGATGCTGCATTTGTCGCTGGCACCCAGCGGGACCTGTGATGATGCAGGCGATGATGCATGAATGCGCACTCACCCGGTTGTCGGGCGTGTCCAGGGCATTGTTGATCACCTGTTGCACGCCAGGGGCAGGTGGCAGAGCTGAGCGAGCCGCAGGAACGGGAAAGCACCGGGCAACAGGGAAGCGGCGCGTGCGCATTCAGCGACGCGGGCGCAGTGGCGGCCACCTTTTGCAGCACCCAGAGCATGAGGCAGAAGAAGACGGGCATCAGCACAATGACCAGATTAGACACCCACGTCCGCCGCTGCTGCATGCCATTCTTTCTGTGGAAGGGCCGCGGGGAAGAAGGGGGGACACCGTGAGACGTGGGGCAAGCATGCTGCGCATTCAATAGGGGACACTGAGCTGCCTGCTGGCACGCACCTGAGCAGCGCATTAGCCTGCAAGGCAAAACGAGTGAGCCGGCGTGGGTGGGCAACAAACAGCGTCAAGCGGTGGGGGGCGGGCAGGCGGCGGGCAGGTGGCGGGTTCTCGGTGAAAGCCACACAGCCTGTTACGCACTTGGGTGGTCAGTTTGGTCTTGAGGCGAGTCTCCTGGCTGGTGCGGAAGGCGTCCACCGCCTGTGGGGGAGCCGGCCCAGGGGGAACATTCATACTGTGGGCGTCCCGTGGGGTTTGGTGGTGCTGCAGCCCGCCCCGAGAGCCGAAAGAAGACCGGTCAATTTGCTGGATCGCAACAGCAAGATGCTAACAGACAGGCACCCTTGACGCGTGGAAGGCGCCCCAACGGGTTAGGTGACGGCAATTGGAGAAGTTCAAACACGTTTGGTCCATGATCCATCGCTTGCACTTGGTCAACAGCCCCGGCTTGGCCTCTGCCCGATCACCTGGTCTATATTGCCACAGGGGGAAGCTGTGCCCGGCTCCTGCTGGCCGCTGCCCAGCCTGGCGCTATGGCGGACTCCCGCCGCTGGACGAAAGATAGCAAGCAGAGCGACTGGGAGCCCCAGAATGGCCAGCACGACGGTGGCGCCAACGGCACCGCCGCTGCCTCCACCACTGTCGGCGAAATCGTGCTGCAGCCCTGGCGCAAGCGCTTCACCACCCAAGTGAGTTGCTGACCATTTACCTAGATGGATTCGTGAGTGCTAGTGCAAACCGGCTGCATTCATCATGGCAACACCCCAGCAGAGCAGCGCTAGGCCACACGCCACCACCGTCGCTTTGAGGTCCTTTTAACCTGCGCCTCGCTCGCAGTTTGCGGCACTCTTCTGGAAGAACCTGCTGGTCAACTGGCGCAACTTTCGTGCCACCCTGCTGCGCGTCATGGCGCCGCTGTGAGTTTTGTGCGGCGCCGCAATGCACGCGCATCGCAACGCCCACAACACTCTTGTGCCGCCTGCTGTCTGCATGCGCCACCTGCCCTGCCTCCTCAACCCCACTGGTGCGCCCCACGCCCCATGCCCCGTGCGCCACCCGCAGCTTCTTCATGCTGCTGCTGTACCTGACTGATGTGGCCATCAGCGCCGACAACCCCAAGCAGCCGTACGCCATCTCCAACCTCGACCCCGCCGTGGACGCCGTGACCGCCATCCCCGCCTGCGAAACCTCCATGTACATGCGCCCGGGGGGCTGCTGGGACATGTTTTACACGCCCAACAACTCGGCCACCGCCCAGGTGGGCTGGCAGCAGTGGCACGCTGGCTGAGTGGATAGCTGCACCCGGGGGGAGGACCCTAGCTGCGAGTGCAATGCTGCAGTGCAGTGTGCAAGTTATTGCCCCCACCCTTGCCCCTCCATGCCCACTCGCTGTTGCGCTCTGCATGTGCCGCACTGTCCCCTGCGCAGGCCATCGTGCAGTACATGCAGGCCAGCAACCCGGGGCGCCCCATCCCCGGCGACAAGGTGCTGGGCTTTGCAACGCCCAGCGATGTGAACGACTGGCTGACGCTCAACCCGGAGCGGGTGCTGGGCGGGGTTCACTTTAGCGAGGAAGGTGAGCGGCCGCCTTCTGGCTTGAACACCTCCAATTGGAACAGCCGCTTGTGAAAGAGTGGTGGTGAAGTGGCCGGCGGCCCGCCTCACTGCCCACGGCCAACCAACGAGCGAGGCTGCGCTTGCTTCTCTTTGCTGTTGCAGGCCCCACGCAGGTGGATTTCCTGCTCCAGGTCAACACCTCGGTGCAGTACTTCAAGGACAAGTTCCAGGACCCCACCTTCTTCATGCAAGTGCCGCTGCAAGTGGCCACCGAGCGCGCCATCGCCCAGCTGTTTGCAAACGCGAGCCTGGGCGCCGATGCGCCGCAGCTGGCCTGGCAGGTGGCCACCAGCATGTTTGCGCACCCCACCACCAACTCCATCAATGTGGTGAGTATAGGCAGCCTGCATGCCAGCCCACGCTCCATAGTTCAGTTTGCTTTGTCGGTCTGGCCAGCCACCTGCCCAGTGCATCCACTAGTCTGCGCCTGCGTGCAGGTGGGCAAGTCCATTGGCTCCTTCATCTTTGCGGCAAACCTCTTCACATTCGTCCTGATTGTGAGCTCCCTGGTGGTTGGCAGTGGGACTACAATCATACCGTTTGCCATTGGCCCACACTTCTACCTGCCATAAGACGCAGAGAGGACGTGAATCATACTGATTAATTGATTGATGCTTGACATCGAGCCCTCACGCATGCCTGTCCCTGCCTACCTGCCTGCCGTGCAGCTGGCGTCTGTTGTGGCGGAGCGCGAGAGGGGGCTGCGCCAGGCGCTGAAGACGATGGGCATGCTGGAGTCGGGTGCGTTGAGGGGCGAGACGCACGCCTTGCGCTGCGGTTATGCTGCTTGTGGCGAGCCTGCGCAACTGCAAAGCCGACGCCTGGATGGTGCATGTGCCCCGGCAAAGCTGATAGTCTACCACACGCCCCTGATGGCCTAACATGCGCCCTGCCTGCTCGCCTGCCTCCAGCCTTCTGGCTGTCGTGGATGACCGTGGAGGTGATCGCATCCGTCATCTTCTCCCTGCTGCTCATCGGCTTTGGGGCCATGTTCGGCTTCTCTTTCTTCACAGGTAGTCGCGACCGCCATTTGATGTTTGGTGTTGGATCTTCGATGTTGGCGTCTAAAATTTTGATATCTTCCTCCCTTCTTCAGTGAATAGCTTCGGGGTGATTTTCCTCCTCTTCTTCGTGTTTCAGGTGAACATGAAAATGAATATGAAAATGTATAAAATTGACATAATTCATAGATGCAATCCATGCAATTGCATTGTTGATATGCCCTGCATTCCCAATCTGCCCTGCAGCTGTCGATGGTCAGCGTGGCGTTCCTGCTGTCGACCTTCCTGTCGCGCAGCGCCACCGCCATCATCCTGGGCTTTGTGGTCTTCCTGGTGGGCTGGATCGTGCAGGCGGTGGTGGTGTTTGGGTTCCCGTACGTCCCAGGTGCGGCACGGCGGCGGGCGGCGTGTGTTCGTGTGCGTGTGTGCGACAGGGGGGCACGTTAGCATCAAGGCATGGTGGCACTGAAGCAGCCACCCTGCCTCCCTGCTGCCCCGCAGACTACATCAACAGCGTGACCGTCATCACAGTCATCTTCACCCTCATGCCCTGGGCCCCGCTGGCCAAGGCCTGCGGTGCGCTGCTCTTCCGCGCCCCGATGCTCCCCTCCCTTTCCATGCCTCGCACCCGCCGGCCCAGCGCCTGCGCCGCCGTGCGCGCCGCCCTGCCCGCCTGCAGTGGACTTGGGCGCCGCCAGCGAGGACTCCACCAGCGTGGGCATCAGCTGGGACAACCGCTACTCCTACTGCCAGAACATCGAGGACCAGTCGGCGCAGGTGGCGGCCTACCGCGCAGGCACCTACCAAGACTTTGACTGCGTCTTCTCCATCGGAAACAGTGAGCGCCCGCTGCCCGCCGCCCGCCCGCTGCTGCCGTGGTGGGGGACCGGCGGCGCGCGCCTGGGGACCGGACCGCCGCATGCCAGGGCGCCGCATGCGCGCCGTCGACTGCGCCCGATTCAACCGTGGTGCAGTCTTGGTGGTGCTCTCCCTCGAGTTCCTCCTCTACTTCCTCATTGCCATCTACCTGGACCACGTGCTGCCAGACAACAACGGTGCACAACACAACACGCGGGCGGCTGCGTGTGTGTGTGTGTGTGTTTGGGGGGGAGGCATGCTGCTGGGTGCGGTCGGGGCGTCGCGCGTGCCTCGGGTGCCCGATGGTTGGCCGCACGTGCGCCGATCGCGCCCTGGTGCCCGCCGCCGCCGCCGCCGCCCGCCCCTTCCTGCAGGCGTGCGCAAGGGCGGCGTCTTCTACTTCATGTCGCCATCCTACTGGGGCGGGCGCAGCGCCAGGTCCAAGGCCAATGCCGCCCTGACCCCGCCGCTGGCGCGGGCCGCGCAGCTGGATGCGGGCATGGAGCGTGACGAGGATGTGGTGGCGGAGGAGCGGCGCATGCAGGACCTGCTGCAGCACAGGACGGGTGGGGCGGCTGGCAGGACGGGCGGTGGGCTGGGCTGGGCAGGGCAGCACCGGCACGGGCGGTGGGCAGCTCTGCCTCGCTTGCATGCTGGCCTGGCGGCATCCGCCCAGCCTGCGACGCTACGCTTTGCTGCCACGCGCTCGCTGCTGCCAGCCAGCTGAGCGCCGTTGGCCCGCCCACCCCGCCGCCCACCCCGTGCAGGCTCCGGCGGCGCGCTGTCGCTTCAGCCTGACAGCAGCAATGCGGTGGAGGTGTACGGACTGCAGAAGGTGTTCTCGCCCGGCTGCTGCGGCGGCAAGGGCTGCTGCGGCGCGTGCTGGTGCGTTTGCGTGGGGTGCAGCCGCGGGTCACCTGCACCCCGCATGCCACTCATAGTTGGGCGCCTCGCCAGGGGCCACCCCGCCTGCCTGCCTGCCCGCCCACCTCCGCCTTTCTTCCGTCACTCCCCGCCCTCCCTCACCGCCCTGGCCCCCCCGCAGCTTTTGCTGCTCCAAGCGGCGCGGGCGGAAGCGCGCCGGCGAGTTCTGGGCGATCAAGGGCAGCTGGTTTGCCATCGAGCGCAACCAGGTGTTCTGCCTGCTGGGGCCCAACGGCGCCGGCAAGACCACCACCATCAACTGCCTCACAGGTGCGACACTGCTGTGGCTGTGACCTGCCGTGATCGGTGCTGCTGCTGTCTCCTCGCGGGAGCATGGGGGCGCCTGGCAAGTGTGTGGTATCCGACTGCTGCTGGGCGTGCCGCCCTCCCTGCAGGCGTGCTGCCCCCCAGCGGCGGCGATGCGCTGGTGTATGGCGAGAGCCTGAGCACCCCGGGAGGCATGGACCGCATCAGGTGTGTGTGTGTGTGTGTGGGGGGGAGGGGGGGGGGGGCCTGGCATATAGGCATAAAGAATGAAAAGCCTGGCTCGAAGCCAGGGGCAGCGGCGGTGCTGCGGCAGCACGGCCGCAGCCTTGCGCCACGCTTGCAGCGCGGCCTCCCAGCGCCCCCCGGCCCCTCCCCCTGCTCATGCCGCCCGCCCGCAGGTCCCTGATGGGCGTGTGCCCGCAGTTTGATGTGCTGTGGGGGGAGCTGACGGGGCAGGAGCACCTCCACATCTACGGACGGGTCAAGGTGCGGCGCCAGCCTGGCGCCAGCCTGGCGCCAGCCCTGCAGCCGGCCGCTGGCCACGCCTGTGGGGGCCCGTCGCGGCGAAGCACGCGCCGTGGCCTGCCACACGCGACAGCTTTCTGGCGGCTGGAGGCCAGCCCGCCTCACCTGGGTGCCTTGCTGGCCGCTGCCGCCGCCGGTGCAGGGCCTGCCCAAGGCGGCGGTGCGGCGTCAGGCTGAGGAGCTGCTGGACTCGGTCAAGCTGGCGGCTGCGGCGCGGCAGCGCACGGCGGCATACTCGGGAGGCATGCGGCGCAGGCTGAGGTGTGTCAGTATGCGCGTGCGGGCTGTGGTGGCGTGCGCGTGGTGCGGCGAGGGCAGCATGCTGCGCCCGCTGCGGACATTCGCCCAGAGCACGGGCCCTGAGCCGGGCAGGCGCCGTGGCGCCCCCCTGCCCCGTTCCCCACCTGCCCCGCATCCTCACCCGGCCTGCCTGCCCCCTCCACCCCCTGCCGCCTCCCCTCCCCCGCGCCAGCGTGGCCATCGCGCTGCTGGGCGACCCTCTGGTGGTGTACCTGGATGAGCCCACCACGGGGATGGACCCCATCAGCAGGCGCCACGTCTGGGACATCATCGGTGGGCGCTGCAGGGGGGCACACACATGCACACGCACAAGCAGCAGCAGCAGCAGCAGCAGCAGGGCACACATTGCAGCACGCCCGCCGGCGGCAGGCCTGCCTGCCTGCCTGCCTGCCTGCCTGCCTGCCTGCCTCCCAGCCCGCCTGCCTGCCTGCCTGCCTGCCGCTGCGCAGAGTCTTCCAAGCAGGGGCGCGCCATCGTGCTGACCACGCACAGGTGTGTGGGGCAGGGGCCCGGCTGCCGCCGCCTCCACCTGTTGCGTCTGGTCCTCCGCTGCGGCCCCCGCAGACTTCTGGCTGCCTGCCTGCCGCTCTCCCATGTCCCCCCCCTGCCCTCCACGCTCGCGCGCTCGCTGACGCGCCCCTGCTGCGCCTGCCCTGCGTGCTGTGCGTGCTGTGCAGCATGGAGGAGGCCGACATCCTAGGGGACCAGGTCGCCATCATGGCGCGCGGCAGGTGGGCGGCGGGGCGGCGGCGGCGGCAGCAGAGGAAGAAGCGGCGGCAGGCCAGGGGGTGCCCCCTGGGAGGCCAGCCTGGGCAGGGGTGGGGCACCAGCGGGGCTGTGCGGCTGCCGCCTGCCGGCCCGCCGCCGGCGCTTGCCTGGCCCCAGCCGCAGCTCTGCTGTGCCCCCGGCCCCTCCCCTCCCCCCACACACGCGCGAGGGCTTCCCCCTCCCCCCCACACACACGCGTGCAGGGTGCGCGCCATCGGCTCCGCGCTGCGCCTCAAGCAGCGCTTTGGCAGCGGCTACCAGCTGTCGGTCAGCGTGCTGCCCGCTCGCTCCTTCGCCAACGTCGACGCGGCGGCGGTGGCCACCAACGCCGCCGCCGTCAAGCGGCTGTTCCAGGTGGGGCGCCGCACGCTGCACCCGCGCCGCCGCACACAGATACACGTGCGCGCGCTCCGCACCCGCAGCCCCGCCCCGCCACCGTGCCTGCCCTCCGCAATGGCCTCCCACCGCCTCCACACGAAGACCTATGATCTTCAGCCCTCAGCTCCACCTCCCCAACCTCTTCCCACCACCACCGCAATCACCACCCCCAACCACCCCAACCACCCCTTACAGGCCGAGCTGGGCGTGGATGCTGCGGACGAGACGAGAGCCTACATCACATTCCTGGTGCCCAAATCCAAGGAAGGGGCGCTGCCCGCATTCCTGCAGGCGCTGGAGGGGCGGCGGCAGAAGGTGGGCCGCCGCCGAAGCCGCCCGCTGGCTGGCGCACGCCCGCCGCCGCCCGCCGCGCCACACCCGCTGGCCCCGCGCCTCGCCGTCACCAACCCCTGCCCCCTGCCCTGCCCCGCCCCCTGCCCTGCGCCGTGCCTGCAGCTGGGCATCACGGATGTTCCGATAGGGCTGACGTCTCTGGAGGAAGTGTTCCTGACCATTGCGCGCAAGGCGGAGGTGGAGGCGGCGGCGGGGGACACCGTGGTGGTGGAGCTGCAGGATGGGGGCAGCCTGGAGGTGAGGGGGCAGGGCTCGAGAGGGGCTTGGGACCTTCCCTGGCACGCCCAGCAAGGATTGAGGGCAGCCGGGGGCCGCAACACCCTCCCGCTGCCTGCCCGCCTGCCCGTGCTGCCTATCAGACTTGTCACACGCAGCCCGGCCGCTGAGCGTTCCCCCCTTGGCAGGTGGCGCTGGGCGAGGAGTGGGCCACCGACCCCGCCACCGGCCAGAACTACTTCATCACCTGGGCACAGGACGACAACGGATCGCTGCAGGTGGGGCGCCGCTGCTGCTGCCGGCCGCCGCGCCGCACGAATGCGCGCTGTGTGCGCTGTGCGGGCCGGCGAGGGCCACGGGCCGCGCCCCGTCAACCCCCTCGCCTTTTGGCGGGCTGCCCTCCAAGCCTCTCCTCCCTGCTCCCCCCATGCGGCCTCTGTGCACTGTGCACCGGAGCCCAGCCGCCCATGCCGCCCCTGTGCCGCGCCGCCGCAGGTGCTGAGGGCGGAGCCCGTGGAGCGGCGGCCCGGCGGCGCGTCGGTGCTGCCCGACGGCGGCGGCGCCAGCGGCGGCAGCACGAGCGAGGAGCTGGCGCGGGCGCCGCCTGCGGCGGTGGAGATGACACGCAAAGACCTGTGAGCTTGCGCCGTGCTTCAGCGACGGCTGCCCGGCAGGCCGCTTGCAAGGGACAGGCGTGCTTGATGCCGGCCGCATCCACCACCCTGCAATGTACCTTTTGGTTCCATCCCCATTTCATTCACTCCCTCCATACTGCCTGGCGGCCGTAGCGGCGGCACGCCCGGCCTTCAGAATCGGTTGTTGCAAAAAGGCACAGAAATCTGGCTCAAGTCAAAATCAGTGTCGCGCCCGGGGTGGGGCCGAGTGTGGTGGCGGTGTGCTGGGCTGTGTGATGCGCCGCCACGGAATTCAAGGGCGGCAAAATACGACGGTTGCCAGGCAAGGCAGTGGAACAGAAACGCGCCGGCAGGCGGCTTGAGCTTGTGAGCTCGCGCTGGTGAGTGCCGCAGGCTGCACGCAGGCGCTGCCCCGCTCTCCACTGCCACGCCCTACTGCCGCTGCTGCTGCTGCTGCTGGCGCTGGAGGCGGCGGCGCTCGGCGCTGGCCGCCATGCGGCGCTGCCACGCGTTCTTGGCGGCGGCGGGCTTCCTCAGCTGGCCCTGCTCGTCCACTTCGGCGGGCAGGGCGGCGGCGGTGTTGGTGAACAGGTCCAGCACGATGAAGGCCAGGATGGGGGACAGATCGATGCCTGCGGGGGAGGGGAGGGCAGGGGAGGGCAGGGGAGGGGAGGGGAGGGGAGGGGAGGCATGGCTGCGCGGTGAGAAGGAGGCAGCCGGGAGCAGGAGCAGCGCGTGGCTGGCATCGCCCACGCACGCGCGCGGCCCGTGCGGCTGGCTGGCTGCCTACCTCCCAGGGGCGGGATGATGCCGCGGAAGAGGTTGAGGTAGGGATCAACCACCGTGGCCCTGCACCGCACACGGCACGAGCAAGCTCAGGCACCAGAGAACCGGGCGGCATGCGGGAGAGCAGGCACACGGCCCTGTGGCTGATGCCTGCGGGCGGCTCACAGTGGCGACACGATGGCCTGAGGCGCCGCCGGGAACCAGGAGAGGATAAGGCGCCCGATCAGGGCCGCATTGTACAGCTGCCTGCGCCCAGGGCAGGATGGGGGAGCGGCGGTGGCCAAGGGGTGGCGGCGGGTGTCAGCATGGATGGCTGCCGCTCCGCCACTGCCGAGCCAGGCTTGCAGTCCCCCGCCACTCACAGGAAGCTGCTCAGCCCGCTCGTCAGCACCACCTCCGCCACGCCGTCGCCGGGGATGATAGCGGCAAACTGCACCGGCGTGCCGCGCACAAAGTGCACCGACCGCCCCAACGCTCCCAGCGGCATCGACAGCGACAGCTCAAAGCCGCCATCGGGTCTGCAGCACAGAGGAGCAGCGGCAGGAAGGGAATGGCGGTAGGAGGCACAGGAGGGGCAGCCAACGGTGCGACACCCAGCGACCCAAGCCCCGCCGACAGCGCCGCTCCGCCAAAGGGTGCGTGGCGCAGGACAGCGCGGCCGATTCCATCATCGCGATCGTCCACCAATCGGTGAGTTCTCCACGCCAGGCTGGTCGCGGTGCTCGGCACTGCCGGCAGACCTCCAACGCCACAGCCCTGCTCCACCACACACCCCACAGCCCTCTGAAGCACCGTCCTCCCACCCACCTCTCCCGATGTTCCACCGGGTCCTGCCGCCGTGAGGCGTTGCGGCTTCCCATGCCAGGCAGGTTCAGCATCCTGGGCTGCTGCCGCAGAAGGCGATCCAATGCTAGTGAACAGGCGTGGATGGATCGCGGATGCCGACGGGCGCCACCACATATCACAGGCCCATCTTCCCATGCGGGCGGGCGGGGCGCACAGCGTGGTCATGGGTGCCCACCTCATGTCAGCCGCCGAAGCTAGCAGCGTATGCCGCAAGCGTGAGCGGGCATCCATCAGCCTTCCCTCCATGAGGCCCAATTAATTGAGCAGTGATTACAAATCAGAAGGGCCCCACCCATCAAAAGTGGGGGGGCATGGTGGTGACCAAGCGGCAGTAACGGAGGTGACCTGCATGCTGCACACGCGTGCAAGGCAGGAACTGAGTGCGGGTTGCGACAGAAAACAGATGCCATAGTAGAGGGAGCGCCCCATTGTCGAGGTCTGTATAGGTGCAGAGAGGGGCAGGTCTGGAAAGAACTGATCAAGGAAAGCGGACGCAGAGAGGTGGGTGCCCCCTGGAAGCAGGCGGGCACCGAGAAAAACTCGGTCATGGATGTTGGGACCTGGGCCCAGGGTCGCATTCAGTATCAATAAGGACGGAGATGCTTTCCTTTCTTTAAGGATCACATACATTGGCCCTGAAAAGTAAGGGTGGTGGCGATGAAAAGATGCCTGGAGGGCAGGCGCGCAAGTGTTCAGAGGGAGGAGCGGCAGGGGAGCGCCCGGCGCCTGCCGCTGCAGGCTCGAATCAAACAAAAGGCAGGGCAAGCTAGGGCAAGGGGACAGTTAGGGACGCAAGGGATGGCGGTGCGCCTCTGAGAGGTGCTGGTGCGCGGCACACGCCAGGCAGTCGGCCGCGACCGGGCGCGCCCGCATCAGGCGCGCCGCGCCAGCAGCTGCGCCAGCGGCTCCAGCTGCACTGGCACCGGCTGCGCCGCCGCCGCCGCCGCCGCCTCGTGCTGCTGCATGGCGGCCACTGCGTGGGCGAAGCTGAGGCCGTTCCAGCAGAAGGGGTGGCCCGCCAGCAGGAAGCGCGCGGCCTGCACCTTGGTCAGGATGCGGTCCAGCAGCTCGACCATCATGGCGCACGCCGTGGCCCGCTCCTCACGCAGGTTCTCAGCCAGCGCAGCCACCACGCCGTCCAGCTGCGCGCAAGACAGGGCGCAGGCTGCAGGGGCGCGGGCGGAGGGGGTGGGCGGGGAGGGAGAGGGGGAGGAGACGCGCGTCAGGCAGGGCGGGGCAGGCGGGCACGAAGGGCATGGAAGCGCACGGCGCCCAGAATCTCAACACAGGGACAGCGCCGCGTGGCGCCGGGCGCCGGGCTGCCGGCGCAGCGCCCAGAGCGCGGCGGAGGTGCACCGCGGCCATGCGGCGGCTGGCAGGGGGCGCGCGCTTGCCTGAGAAACCCACGCTCTCTGCGGCCTGTAGCAGCAGGGCCTCCACCCACTGCTGCGGCTGGCCGCCAAGGCTGGTGCCGGGCAGCTGCGTCAGCTGCAGGCGGGGTGGGGCGGGGCGGCAGGACGGCATCAGGCTCCCTCCCCCAGACCGCCCACCTCTGCCGCCTCTCCCGCTGCCGCGGTGCTGCGGTCCACACCCGCACCGCACCAGCACACGCGCCGCCACCCCACCCCGCCACGCGCCTGCGCCTTGTGCAGCAGCCTGCGCCCGTAGCAGTCGTCGATCTTCTGCAGGAAGCGGCGGCGCCAGTCTGCCAGCGCGGCGTGCTGGTCGGGCGTGAGCGCCACCCTCAGCGCCACCACCTGCCACTGGTGCAGGCTGTCGGCGGGGGAGGTGCCGTCATGGCCTGCAGACGCCATATTGGCGGTCAGCAGGGCGGCGGCGTCGGGGCCGCTGGCCTGCAGCACCATCTTCACCAGCTCCACCCCCGCATGCACCAGCTGGCTCAGCTTCTGGGCAGCCTCCACGCCCAGGCCCGTGCCTGCACACCCGCACACGGCGGCGCACATGCGCAGCCAACTTTCGTCGGGCAGGGGCAGGGGAGCGCAGCGTGGAGGCAGGGGCCGGGGCACGCGGTGCAGCGAGGCAGGCCGGCCACCAGGCCGTGCCACGCACACAGCCACACACACCCACAGCGCACCATCTGTGGGCATGGCCTCCAGCTGCACCGAGGCGGCGTATGCCTGCAGGTCCTGGTAGTACAGCCCCAGCGCCGCCTGGATCTGCTTGGCGCTCAGCTGCGGGGCGCCGCTGTGGCGCGGCCCCGGGGAGGGCGGCGCGGCAGTGGCGGCGGCCTTGAACCCGCCGCTGCCCTGCTGCATCATCAGGCTGCCCGCCTGCTGCTGGTGGTTGTGCTGGTGGTTGTGCTGGTGGTGGTGGTGCTGCTGAGGCGCGGCGGCCCCATTCTGCGGCTGGCTGGGGGTCAGGTCTGCCAGGCTAGCGGCAGAGGGGTTGGAGGCGCGCAGCGTAGCGGCGGCCGCCGCCGCGGGCGCCGCCGCCGCCGCCTGCAGCAGCGCCTTAAGCTTGGCCATCTCCCGGCGCAGCACGTCGTTCTCCTGCCGCTGGCGCTGCAGCAGCACAGGGCGGGGCGGGCGGGGCAGGCAGCGGCGATATGAGCCCCGGCGTGCATGTGGCTGCACAACAGGCTGGCGTTGCGGGCCATGGGCTGGGCGTGCACCGGCGGCGGCCCCTCCTGGGCGGCCCGGCACCCACCCCGCCGCCGCACCTGAGCATCCATGGCGTCGTCACTCAGCAGCTGCACCTTGCGCTGCAGCTCCTCAAACTGAGCCTTGCGCTTAGCCCGGTAGCGCTGCTGGGCCTGCAGGCAAGCGCGCGGTTGCGCGGGATCGGCAGCGGGGCCCAGGGCCGCCCGCCGCCAGGCGGTGCTCGTGCAAAGCGTGCCTGCCACCCGGCGTCCCGTGCGTCGGCGGCAGGCCCGCCCACCCACCTGCTTGTTCTGCTCCTGCTGCCGCGCATTGCGTCGGCCGCGCTGCTGCGGCTGCGAGGCCTCGCCCAGCATGTCCAGCGCCTGGTGGCCGCTGGGGGACATGGATGAGTTGTAGGCGCCCTGCTGCAGCCCCTGCTCGCCGCTGCCCCGCCAGTCGCTCGGCTCGAGGGTGGAGATGCTGCCGCCGCTGTGCCGCCGCCCCGCCATCCCACCCTGCTGCGCCGCCTGCTGCTCATCGCGGGCGGTGCCGTCGCCCTGCTCCCCTCCCTGGACAGCAGACAGCGGCGAGCCCGCCCCGGCCGAGGGTGCTGCTGCCGACGCTGCCACCGCCGCCAGCGCAGCCGCGGCTTGCTGCTCCTGCGGGCTGGCGCTGGCTTCCACCATGCCTGCTTCTTCCTCCGACATGCGCTAGGCTCCCTGGGGAACGGGCCGCGTGAGGGGCCAGCTGGGGGGCCGCAAGCACGCGTCTCACAACGCCTGCGCCCGCACAAAGTTTGATATGAAGCGCCCCCTTGGGGTGGGGGGCGGCGCGGCTGGCAAAGGAGGCCTGTACCAGGCCCAGGAGCAGGTGAAGGATTACCCTCCCATTGACACCGGCCTGCAGCGGTTGAACAAAGGGTCCAAAGAGTGTGTCCTCGACTAACGTAGGTGTAGGAGGGACGGTGTCGATGATGGCATGGCTGGGGCCCACTTCTGCGCACCTGAGTGGGCCGAGCATGACCACATGCAGATGGCGTGGGATGAGGCGATGGCATGTACTCCCAAGTTTCTCGCACCCCGCAGGCAGCCTGCAGCCCAAGCGACATGCCACCCGCGTTGACCACCCTGGCTGGGTGCCGGCGGCTGCGACCGCCTGAGCGGCAGCGGGTGGCGGGTGGCGCGGCCTCCGGTTCTGACACATTTTGTCCACTGCTGTTACAATAGGAGGCCAGAACAAAATTGGTTTGGGCATACAATGGAATTGAGTGCAGTTTGATGGGGGAGCTGAAGTCTGAAACACGCTGAGGGAAGATGTGCAAAGGCGAGGAGCAAGCGGCGCGGCTGGAGCCAGATTGCAAGTGCAACTGAAAGCATTTGGGAAAAGCAGGCACTGGTCTCTGCTGCGCATCGAAGCAGAAGGCAGGGTGTGCGGCAATGCCAGCATATCAAACGACTGATTGACTGACCGTCTCGAGCAAGAAAGCAGGGCGGGGGGCCGGGGCAGGGGGCTGCGCCTCATGCCGTCACATACTTGCTCAGCAGCTCCCTGACCTCCTCCTTGGTGGTCAGCTCCATGGGGGTCCGCCCATCCAGGTCCTGCACACGGGAAGCAGCGCAGGGCGGCGCGGATGGCCTCACCAGGCGCCCCACCCAACACCCCGTCCGGGCACACAGCGGAGAGCAGCACAGGGGCGGGCAGCGGCCAGCTCGCCAGCCGCACAGCGGCGCAGGTGGGCTGCAGGCAGGCCCCGCGCGCGCCCCCCACCTTGATGCTGGGGTCTGCGCCCGACTCCAGCAGCTCCTCCACCTTGCCGTCGTCATTCTCCGAGCAGGCCATGAGCAGCAGCAGGTCGACGGGCGCGGTGCCGGCTGCAGAGGCAGGGGGACAGGCGTGCCCAGGCGGTCAGATGGCCTTTGGAGCCGAGGCGCGCAGGCGGCTGCCGTCGCTGCTGCCGCGCCAGGCGGTAGCGCATCCCATCTTCAGGCGCAGTGGTGGGCCGGGCTGGCAGCCCCGGCTGGCATGCGGCTGCCACCTCCCCGGCAGCTCACTTGCAAGCATGGCCTCGCAGCGCTCGTAGTTGCCCTGCAAGGCAGGGCACCAGCTCGGGCATGTGGAGCTGCGGGTGGGCAGCACCGCCCCACGCGCTGCGCTTTGCTCAGCGGGCCGCTACATCCCACGCCAGGCAGGCATCCTCAACTCGCCGCGCGGCGCCGCCCCCGCAGCAGCCATCCAGCCAGCCATCCAGCCAGCCGGCCGGCCAGCCAGCTCCCACCCACCCGCCCACCCACCCACCTCGCTGGCCAGCATGCCCATGTACATGAAGTAGTCCTGCACGTCGCTGGCCTGATAGTCGCCCCGCTTCTGGCCCTGGAAGTACTCTGCGCGAGGCCGGGGGTGGAGGCGGGAGGGCGGCGCTGGCGGGGTTGGGCGACCGCACAGAGGCTGGCATGCAACGTGCGCCACGCCGTGCCGTGCCGTGACATTGAGGCAGCACAGGGGAGGCGCGCATTCATAGTAGGTTGCTGAGCTGGCGGCGGCGGCGGCGGCGGCACCGCGGCGGCTCTGACACCGGTCCCCCTGCCGCACCTGCGTCCTGGGGCGCGCCGTTGGCTTCCTTGTCCTTGCTGTTGCCAAACTTGAAGAAGGCACGGCAGCGGCTGCCGTTGCTCACGGCGGCCCGCAGTTGGCGGCCGGCAAAGGCGCGCCGCCGGCTGCCCGCCCGCGCCGCGCTGCCTGCTGCTGCGCACACGCTTGCTGTCAACGCCTGCATCGTTGCTGATGTACTGGGAGGGCAGAGGGCGCGGGTGGGGAGGGTGGGGTGGCGAGGGTGGGCTCTAGGGGGCGGGCCGGCTCGCAACAGGCTCTGCAGGGTTCACTGGGAGTGTGGGTGGCTTAGCAGGCGCCAATTGGGTGGTGCGGCAACGATTGCTGCCTGGGTCTATCCCCTGCTACGCCCCCGAGCGCAGCACGAGCAGACCTGTCACTCAGGAGTACACGTCTCCCCCAGGATGGGGTTTCGATGGGGCATGCATAAATAGGCGCCATCGACGCACCTGAAGCCCATTCTGCCGTTTCCCTTCCTCTCCGCCACCCGGCACCCTTCAACCTTTGACAGGTGCAGCAATGGCCGCCCTTGCCGCTGCCCAGGCGCAGACCATCACCCAGTCCAAGCCCAATGTCTTCGCCGCACGCCGGGTAGGTGCAATGCGCATACGGGGCAGCCTGCAGGGGCCATGCATGGCTGCATGACGGCGCCTGGTCCCTTGACCAACATGGCTACTCAACCCAACGCTTATCTCCTTATCTCCACTCCGGCCCTCAACTGTGCCCTAATCGCCGTCCTTGCGCGCAGGCTCAGCGCCCCAGTGCACGCTTCGCCGTGAAGGTCCAGGCCGCGGTGAGCGGCGCCGCTCGCCAGCCGCCGTCGCCTGCCAGCACCGCCGCACCGCCGCCGGGCCCCCGCTCCTAGCCCCGCCCCTCCTCCTGCACCTCATGCCCGCCACCTCCTCCCCGCTCCCTCCCTTCCCCCTCCCCTCAGGTGGCGGCACCGGAGGTGACCTACACCGAGACGGCCCCCGACTCGCTGCTGCGCCCCGGCATCGACGACCCCAACAGGCAAGCCAGCCAGCAGCAACCCCCGCCCTACTCAAGCCTGGGTGCTCCCCCGCCCTGCCAGCCATCGCTTGAGCCTGCCAGTCAGGCTGGGGGCCATGCGCATGCCCGCCTGCCTGCCTGCCCGGGGCGACTCCAGCCCCCTCCTCCCCTGTGCTCCACCCCTGCCTCATCAGGCCGCGTCTCACGCAGCCTGCCCGAACCCGCCCGCTCCCCGCCCCCGCAGCATGCGCGGCCGCTTTGAGAAGATGATCCGCGGCATCCAGAAGCAGGTGTGCGCCGCCATTGAGGAGGTGGACGGCAACACCTTCCGCCAGGACGCCTGGACGCGCCCCGGCGGTGGCGGCGGCATCACGCGCGTCATGCAGGAGGGCAACGTGTGGGAGAAGGCGGGGGTGGCGGTCAGCGTGGTGTACGGCACCATGCCCGCCGAGGCCTACCGCGTGGCTGTGGGCAAGGACATCCCCTTTGCCAAGGTGAGGTGGGGGGTGGGAGGGCAGGCAGGCAGGGGAGAACTGCACAGCCGGTCTGTGGGGTGAGCCCAGCGCTGACCTGGCCCCCTGCCCCCTGCCTCTCGTCCCCTCGTCCCCGCAGGACGACCGCGTGCCCTTCTTCGCCGCCGGCATCTCCTCGGTCATGCACCCCTGGAACCCGCACTGCCCCACCATGCACTTCAACTACCGGTGAGGCGCCGGCCCGGGGGGGCAGCACGAGGCCCTGCTGCACCGGGCTGCGGCGCACCGGTGCCTGGCCTGGCCCTGCCTCCGCCCTTTACCGCAGCCCACCCACACCTGGAAAAGCTGCTGCGCCGCCCCTTGCCCGCCCGCAGCTACTTTGAGACCGAGGACTGGAAGGGCATCCCCGGGCAGTGGTGGTTTGGCGGCGGCACCGACATCACCCCCAACTACATTGTGGAGGAGGACATGAGGCACTTCCACGGAGTTTACAAGGTGCGGGGGGCGGGGCGGGGCAGGGAGGGGCGGGCCAGCACCCCGCCTGTGCGCTCTCCCTTGCTCGTGCCTTGCCCGCGCCCACTCCCTCCCATCATGCCCTGCCTGACGCCTGCCCCACCCCCCACACACGCCCCCGCCGCAACAGGCCGTGTGCGACCGCCACGACCCCACCTGGTATGACAAGATGAAGGGCGACTGCGACGACTACTTCATGATCGCGCACCGCGGGGAGACGCGCGGCCTTGGCGGCATCATCTACGAGGACCTCAACGACCGGTGAGGGAGGGGCTGGGGAGGGGCGCGCAGGGGTGCCCTGCATGCCCCGCCTTGCGTGGCCACCTCCCTGCCCTGCCCGCCGCCCCGCCCCGCCTGGCACAGCCAGCTGACTGTCCCCTCGGCGCCCCGGCTGCCCGCTGGCGCAGGGACAAGGAGGAGATCTTTGCCTTTGCCACCGACGCCGCCAACCACATTGTGGAGGCGTACGTTCCCATCGTGAAAAAGCACAAGACCGACCCCTACTCGCCGCGGCAGAAGGAGTGGCAGCAGATCCGGCGCGGGCGGTACACCGAGGTGGGGCCCCGGGGCTGCCGCGCCGCGCTGCCTGCCGCTCGCTGCGCCGCTCCCTGCCTGTGTGCTGCGAGGCCACCCACCCACCCAACCACCCACTGCCCGCCCCGCCTCTATTCCTCCCCGCAGTTCAACCTGGTGTACGACCGCGGCACCATCTTTGGCCTCAAGACCGGCGGCCGCATCGAGTCCATCCTCATGTCCCTGCCCCTCACAGCCAGCTGGCGGTGAGCTGCGCGGCGGCCTGCGCCTCGGCAAGCGTCGCCCAGCTCCCGCCCCGGCCGATAGCCACTCTGCCCCAGCCTGCCCAAGCATTCCATGCGCCTCACAGCTGCCGCGCCCCTCGCTGCTGCCTCCCCCTCCCTCCTGCCGCAGCTACGACTACCAGGTGGACCCGCAGGGCCCCGAGCAGAAGTTCCTGGATGCGGTGCGCAACCCCAAGGAGCAGCAGTGGGTGTGAGCGCGCGCTTTGCATAGATGACGCCGCCACGCCCGTCCCCATGCCGGCCTCGGACGCACCCATAGAATGCACGGCAGGCTCGACCCTCTTCCCTTGGCACACTGCTCGTTTTTGCTTGCGCACACACTTTTCCTTCTTCCCTCGCCACCCAAGTTTTGTGCTACCCAACGGGGGGCCGCATGGCCCCCGCTGTACTCGCTCCCCAATTCATGCGCACCGGCTTTCATTGCGAAACCGCCTACAGACAGCACCCATTCAACGCGCAACATGCCACTGCAACCCACCCCAAACACCACGAGGCCTGGCAGGCCAGGGACATCACCAGCAGAGCAGCAGCGCACACCTGACGCGGGTGAGGGGCGGTGGCGGCAGCGAGCGACCGCCGCCGACGGGCCGCGCCCACCCCCGCCATCGGGCAGGGCGGGCAGTGGGGAGCAGCCCACCACAAGAACGAGCTGGACGGGCAGAGCGGCCGAGCGTGTCCCCTGCCGTCCGGTTTGTTCCGGCCCGGTTCCTCAAGCCCTACTGCAGGCAGGAACGGTTGCTGCTGCAGTCGCGCTCCTGTCTTTCCCTGTTTTCCGCTCCCGCGTGACGTCACCATGCCTATCATGTTAGCCATCAAGGGCTGGAGGAAGGGCGTGGGCGTCCTGGTGCGTGAGCTGCGTTTTTTTGTGGAGCAGACGCTGCCGCCCCTGCAGAATGGTATCGCAGTCAGAACAGGCGTTCAGGAAGGGGAGGCGACGGTCACGCGGCTCTGGCGGCTGTCCCCCCGCCGCTCTGGCTCCCGCCTGCCGCCGCCACCGCCTCTCTCTTCCCTTGTGTCCAGGACGGGGCCTTGGTCGACAAAGACGATCCCAAGGCTGTTGAGGAGTACGAGAAGCGCAAGTGAGAGGCTTTGTGCTTGGACATTGATTTTTCTTGCAACTACAGCTCCGTCCCAGTCTGACTGCCGTGGGGCTGCCGCTCACTGCCCTGCGCCTATGCACGTGCAGGGACGAAAAGAAGGGTATCACCAAGGTGCCGGCAGTGCTGGGCAACGTGTGGAAGAAGGTTGCCACCAAGAAGGGCGATAAGGTGCCCAAGGAGCCGCCGGCAAAGAGCTAACCCTGCTCGCAGGGGCACGACACCAGCAGGGGATGCCACTGTACTCTATTTGTATTGAGCCTATCCCAATACATCTCCCTTCCTCGTGATACTCCTTCTGACTCAGCTGCCACTCCACCCGTGATTTATTCCCTCCTTTCAGAACCATACACCTTTCAGAACCATACACCCGTCCAAACGTCCGCACCCTGGTGTGGCCCTTGGGCGCGCTGCTCACAGCGCCAGCGCACCCCAATCAGGTCTCTCTCTTACAGGCCCCGCCGCAGCCGCGGTGCCGGAGAGTCACATCAGGGTGGAGAGCAGCAGGCCCAGGATGAGCATGGAGCTGAAGGCGATGTGCCAGCGGGTGGCCAGGAACTTGAGCGGGCGCAGGCCCTCGGGATCTGCGGGCGCGATGGGCGCGGGGCGGCAAGCCGTGTGAGCCGGGCAGCCACAGGCCACGCCCAGTGAGGGAAGCATTGCACCCCAGCAGCCGCCTGCCATCCCGGCGGCCCAAGCAGCCTGCCAGCTGGAAGCCTGCACAGCATGCTGCTGCTGCGCGGCGCCTCCCAGCCGGCCGGCCCGCCTCACTCTGCGCGTTTGTCTCCGCCAGCTTCACCATCTCCCCCGCCAGGCCGTAGGCCACCATGGCGGAAGTCCAGCAGGCAAAGGGCAGCACCCCCAGCAGGCCCATCGCCAGCGTGGCAATGTGCGTGAACCCCACCACAAACTTGAGCACCTGGGGCGGCAGGCACAGGCACAAGCGCACAAGGCGGGGCAGCGGGGCGTCGGGTACCCGTGTGCAGGGGTGTGTGGGCAAGCAGGCAGCGGTGGAGGCGTGACATGGGCAGGCAGGCTGAGGCGGCCCCACCTCTGTGGCCTTCTCGGTGCCCAGCCGCACCAGCGGCGACAGCTTGCCGTGCTTGCGGTCGCCCTCCACCTGCAGCCAGCCAGCCAGCCAGCGGCACCGTCGACGCCGACGTTTGCCAGGGCGGCAGGCACCAGGGCTCGCACCCCCTGTCTGCTGCCGCACCGGCACAGGCATCAACACGGGGCAAGCAGCCGGGCACGCGGGAAGGGCGGGGCACACCTGCCGCAGGTCGTGCACAGGCTGGCGCCCCCCCACCCCTGCTGCAGCGCTGCCTGCCACACCTGGTGGAAGTGTGCGCAGAAGAGGATGACGGTGGTGGTGATGCCCACCAGGCCCGACAGCGCCACAATCATCTGGTTGAACACGGCCTGGCGGCGGCAGGGAGCGGGACGCAGGAGGGGCAGCACACAGTGGGGGTGGATACCTGCCAGCGAGACCAACAGCAGCGGCAGGAGCAGCAGTGGCCACACAGCCGCGCTGCACGGGCAGCGCAGGCCGGCAGGCCAGCTGTGCCGGTGCCTACCGCCCGCGGCCGCCCACCTGCGCCGGCGGGACCTGGGCAAAGTAGAAGGCGCAGGTGGCCAGCGGCCCAAAGGCCAGGAAGCACAGCGGCTCGCCCAGCCCCAGGTAGCTCCACCTGCGGGGAGGGGGCACAAGCACAGCCGGGGGCTTGCTGGCCCGCTGCCCAGGCATCCGGTGGGAGGCGGCGGCGTGCCCCCCCCACCTGCTCTGCTCGGCATGCTGGCCCTTGCCCCGGCCTCCAGCCAGCCAGCCAGCCAGCCAGCCATCCAGCCAGCCAATCAAGCGCCGCACCTGAACGGCGGCCCCTGGTACACGTATCCCATGGCAATGGCGGCATACAGCATGCGGGCGGCCAGCGGGTTGCCCTGCGCCAGCGGGCGCGGCACAGGCAGGCCGGCAGCTCAGCCGGCGGGAGCGGGGCGGCAGGGCATCCGCCACCAGCACTGGCCGCCGCTGCCACCTCCCAGCAGCACGCCGCCGGCACCCCGCCGGCCAGCCAGCCGGCCAGCCAGCCGGCCAGCCAAAACCCACCACGCCGTGCAGCAGCCAGAAGAGCAGGCCCGTGCCGGCTGCCAGCATGGCAGTGGCGAGGAGGAAGACCAGGCGCGCGTCGCCCCCCAGCAGGTTGACCACGCTCTCGGGCTTGGTCTTGTCCACTCCCGTCACGCTGTCAAACACGTCATTGCTGCGGCACGTGTGCAAAGGGGGGGAGCAGGCGTCGTGCAGGCGCGGCTGTTGACATCTGGCGGGCACCTGTCGTTACCGCTGTGCTGCGCCACCACCCGCACGCACCCATAAGTGGACCACCAGCAGCCGCCCCCACCTGAGGTTCAGCCAGGCAATGATGGCGGTGGCTGCCAGGCACAGCAGCAGGGTGCGGGCAGGCGCAAACGCGCCCGTCTGCACATAGGCTGCGGCGGCGCTGACCTGCGGGGGCAGGCGACAGCGCAGGCACCGGCTCACAAAGGCACCGACGCACGCGGCAAAACCGCAGCGCAGAGCAGGCTGCAGCGGCAGCATGCAGCATGCAGCGCACATCAGGTGCCTGCCACAGGTGGCACGCCCCCCGCCGCACCAGGATGGGCGCCCAGGCGACAGAGTACATGGGCAGCTTGATGGCATGCCGCCACAGGTCTCGCCGCTCCTCGGCGCTCTGCGGCTGCGGGTGCACCGTCCCGTCGGGGTCGATGATGGAATCTGCCTCCACAGCCTGCCTCCCCAGATCCCCGCCATCCGCGGCAGCACCCGCTGCCGCTGCCGCCGCTGGCGGCGGGCAGCGGCGGCGGCGGCGGCAGCAGGGCAGCAGAGGCCGGCTGCGTGGTTGTGCTATCCGCAGTTGCGTCTGCTGCGCTGCCAGGCGTTTGGGTTGTGCAGCAGCACACCGAAGAGTATGGCCTAGCGAGGCCCAGCAAGCCATCGCTGCAGACTGAGAGGATGGCTCAGAATGATGGAGATGTAACCCAATTGAGCAATGGGATCGAGCGCCCCTCGTTCCTGGCCCAGCATTGGGTTCTGCCCTGTTGGCAAGCCGATGGCGCCGATGGCGTGGCCATTGCGCGCCCAGCCCATTCCGGCACTCACACGGCAGCCAGTTTAAGCTTCTGTTGTGGTGTGGGCGTTGTTGACTGCGCTGCCACTCACTTGTAGCCACCCGCGTCTTCCCCCTTGCCCACCCTGTCTTTTCCTCGCCTCTCTTCCTTCCGACAGGACACCAGCGCCGTCAGCCTGGTGTAGGTCTCGGCAGAACAGCTCCCGCCACTTACCCCTGGTCGCTAGCTGCCGCCGCCACCGCCGCTGGAGAAGCGGCCTCACACGGATATGGCATACGTGGGCAATGGGACTGTTTTCACTTACGTTCCTGACAATTGTCGGGTTGATCCATCGTCGGCCACGGCTGAAGGCTCCGCCGACTTTCGCATCGACCGCTGGAACGAGTACTGGCGCAGCCTGATCCCTACATTTTCTGCGGGCATTGTGCTGGGCTCCATCAGCGCTGCAGGCTTTGCTGTGTCTCTTGTGTGGGTACGTCTGCTCAGCTACTTTTCCCAATTCACAGGCAGCTGAGCCGTGCTTGCTTTCCATCCACGCCACCCTGTCCATGCTTCCCGTCGCAGTTGTGCGTGCGGCACCGACGGCGGCGGCTCATCACCCGGGCACGGCAGGCAAAGCTGGAAAAGCAGCAGGCGGTCAAAGCAGCCGCCACCACTGGGAAGCAGCCAGTCAGCCGTGCACCACGCATGACGCCAGGCCGGCTCCTCAAGTGGCTTATTCTGCTCTTGGGCCTGGCCGTCATTGGCGTGTCTGCCTGGGGACTGGCGGAAAGCATCATTAGCACGGACGGGCTGGTGTCGGAGTTCTGGGCTCTCATGGAAGATATTGAGCAGCTGGTGAGCGACGGCTAATGTTGCCCAAAGAAGCAAGTGAGCGGGTGCGAATTTCACTCCCTCTCTCATCCCTGGATATGCTATGCAGGTGGTGGACATGGAGGCGTCGCTGTCCAGCCTTGCGGTCGGGCTGGACACGCTGTCGGGCACCCTGGTCAGCGCCCAGGGCCTGCTGCTCAAAATCGTCGACACCGTGGGTGGCATCCCGGTGATCGGGCCCTTGATTGGTGCGCACAATGGAAGTGGCAGGGAGGCAGGCACCCAGCCGCGCCGATCAAAGGCCCAGTGGTTATCACCGCCTTGTGCTGGCTGCACCAAGCTAGCTGCCTCCCACTGCCGCATCAACCCGCCGCCGCAGGCAAAGTCGTCCCTCTGGACACGATCGAAAGCTTTTTGGGGGATCAAGGAGATGCGGCGGTGAGCGCCATGAATGAGGCGGTGACCGTCCTCAACGACACCGTCATCCCCATCATCAACAACGACATTTTGCCAGTGAGCAGGGAGCGGAATGGGGTTGCTTGAAGCGGCAAGGAGGTTGCAGTGTTTGTTTTTTGCAGGACGCCGAGTCATATTCGCTCTCACCCAAGCACCTCCCTGTTCTGTAGACGCTTGACAATGTGAAAAACTCCCAAGACCTGACCACCAGCCTGGAGGACACCTGGCGATATGTAGTGTTTGCAGGCAGGGCACTGTCATTGCAGGGAACTGCCAAGATATGCAGACATGTGTGCCAATCTGGATGCAGGTTTGCTCCATGCCACCATTGGGCCACCTTGACCTTGCTGCCTGCCTGTCATTGGCTGCAGTGCTGTTTGGACTTCTCATCATCTTCTCGGCTGCCGTTGCATGGACCTGCTACTCCATGCGGCGCGGCATGCTGGCCACTGCGCTGGTCTGTTGCTTGTGGGCGCTGAATGCGGTTGTCTGCCTCCTCGGACTTGGCCTCATGAATGGGGCGCGCACCATTGCCAACGACACCTGCCTCTACTCGGAAGAGCTGGCCTCCCGGCTGGTGCTGGAGAAGCTGGAGGGCGATGCGCAGAGAATTGTGAGGGCGGGGGCCGCCAGCCAGCCACGCCTTGCAGCGCTGACGCAGCGTGCCATGTGCCTTTTGCAGCAGCATTCCGGTGTCCTTGCGGCTGTACCGCCACCGCCCTTTCTTGGTATGTGCCACCCTATGCAGGCAATCAATGCGCTTGACTACTACCTTGGACGGGTTGACCTCACAGACTCGCAGGGCAACCCGCTGCTCACAAACGGCACCACCGAGTGCAGCGCTGAGCTGTCGGCCGCGTTGCTGTACCAGGTCGCCGACATCCAGCTGCAACAGGCATTGATCTATGCCTGGGTGAGGCGAGGAGGAGCCAAATTCAGGGGCCGCCAATGGCTGGGTTGGTGATGGTGGCGGAGATGCAGGTGCATCACCTCTCCAGCAAGTTGCCCTGGCCTTCCCTGCCACAGGACCTGGCGGAGTTCCTGCCCACTGTGACCAACCTGCTGGACAGCGTCAACCTGCCAACCATTCCGTTTGTCAATTTCGACCTGGACAGCATCAAGGATCCGCTGGTCACAACGTCAGAGCAGCTGACATATGTGCTGGACCAGGGTGAGTCGCTGCCTGGAAGAGGATGCCGCCGGCATGCTTGCGTCTGCTGGTCAGTTCATGGCGCAGTGCCAGCCTTACCACAGCCTCCTCCCCCGCCTGCTGCTTGGTGCAGTGTGCAATGTGACGCTGTTGTTGCTACGAGAAAACAACATCCAGCCTCTCTACTTCAGAATCAAGAGCTACGTTTGCTGCGACTTAACTGACGCGATCTACTCAGTCTGGGTGCCCTGGACGTGTGCGGGGGTGCTGGCGCTGGTGCTGTGTATCCTGGCTACGGCGCGCATCGTCAGCAGCACGCTGCGCCCCTCCGGCACGACAGGAAGGCCCAGCGATGATGACCCCGCTCCGGACAAGGTGAGGGCAGGCAGGCAACAACAGATGCATGGACAGGGTGCGGTGTCCCAGGACTTGTGCCCGACCGATCCCTGCATGTGTGCCCCCACAGCCCAACCTCTGTGATATAAGTGCATGTGAAAGGCACATCAAATCTTCCCATGCCCCCAACTGTGCAGGCAGAGGCTGTTGGGAGCTTCATTGTGGCGACCAATGGAGCCTCGCCGGACGGCAAAGCGGGCCTGCAAACGGCAGTGCCACAGGCGGTGGTCCCAGCCGACCCACAGATTGCATCATGATCAATGTCCCACTACCTCAATTTGTTAACTCATTTATCGTGTATATCTTGATGCAAATTGATCACACTTTCACTACGTGAATTTAGTAAGTGCGGCGGGGCGCTGGCTGCCGCCCGCCTCGCGCCAGGTCAACCAATTCAAGCGAACCTCCAAAGAAGGGGGCAATACCTCCTGCTCTACAGTTTCCTCTGATTCTCACCGGCCTCGCTCCTCGGAACAGCAGGTTAAGGTGCTGCAAGTCCCAAGGTGCAGCATGCAGCGGCAACGGGACCTTGCGGCGGATGATGAAGGGGAACTACTGCGTCTGCAGGTGAGATCTACATTGTTCACTGAGTCTCAGGGTTTGGCCACCCCAACACTCGCCTCTCGCCTGTCGCCATGCAGGAGCAATTCGCAGCCAGCGCAGCCCAGGGCGATGCCCGACCCGCGGCCAAGGTCACACGCATCACGCGCCGCCCCGCAGCGCCTGATGCCGCCGCTGGCGGCACTGGCGGCGCGGCCCCGCCGCCGCCCGCCAGCCAGCCCCAGCCAGCTCTGCATGCGGCACGCGGGTGTGCACTGCACGGGCCCGGGTGCCAGGGCCACCATGGCCACGAGGTGCAGCAGCAGCAGCAGCAGCAGCATGCCGCTGGCGGGCCCCAGCAGGCGGCAGGCCTGCTGGCTGCGATGCAGGCGGCGCTGAAGGGCATTGTGGGCGAGGTGCAGGAGCGGCCGGTGGCAGCAGCAGCGCCGCCGCAGCCGCCAACGGCGGCCGATGCAGCTGCAGCAGCGCCCTTCCCTGAGGCCACCCACCGCAAGCTCTCCAAGTTTGCGCTGGGGCGGCAGCGGCAGCGTGCCGCAGAGGAGCCGGCACCCGGGCCAGCCATGGCGCCAACTGTGCTGCCGGCAGAGGCAGCTGGAGGCCGCTCGCTGGATGAGCAGGCTCGCATCGACGCAGAGAACCGGCAGCTTCTGGCGGCCATGACACCAGAGCAGGTGGCGGAGGCCAGGGAGGAGGCGGTGCAGCGCCTGCCGCCCGCCGCCGTCGAGTTCCTGCGCCGGCGTGGCGCCGAAAAGGCCAAGGCGGCAGCTGCGGCGGTCCCCTCTGCCGGCGCTGCACCGTCCGCAGCTGGTCAGCAGGCTGCCTCCCCGCCACTCGCCGCGCCTGGCAGCGGCGGCGACACAGGAGCCGCTTCTGCGAGCAATGCCAGGCCGGCGCAGAGGCCGCGCCAGCAGCCGCGCCCGCAGCGGCAACCCGGCAGCGCAAACCAGCCCGGCGCATCGAGTGCCAGCATTGCCGGCAGGCTGCGCTTTGGGATTGACGGCAGCGTGGAGGGGCTGCGGCCGGCCGATGCCACCGTCGATGCGGCGCCCGCCGACGTGGCTGAGCGCGACCCCATCAGGCAAGCAGGACAGCTGTGCTTTGGCACCATGAGGGCAGCTGTCGTACGGAGCAGCGGCAGCAGATGCAGGCCCCCCCTCGGTGCCCACTCTGTCGTGTTGCTGCTGCTGCTCCCGGCAAGTGCAGGCAGGGCGAGGGCCTGGGTGCAGAGGGCTACAGCGTGCAGGAGGCGTGCCTGCTGGCGCGCAGCACGCTGGCGCAGCAGCGCGTGCTGGCGCTGCGCCTGCTGGCTGCTGTGCTGGCGCTCAGCAGGCCCAGCGTGGCGTGCAGCAGCTCTGTCCGCGTGCCGCTGCCACCTGCAATTGCGGCCGAGCTGCAGCAGCAGGCGGCTGCGGGGCTGGAGTGGGTGGCGGTGTGGCACCATGCCCTGCATGCTGCCGACGTGGTGCTGCTGCTGCGCCGATCGCTGGACGACGCCCATCCGGCGGTGGCGGCGGCAGCGGCGCAGGCCCTGGCGGCGCTGCTGGGGGCCGCGGGGCCGGCGGGCGCCGCCGAGGAGGCGGCGGCAGAGGGCACAGATGCGGCGCCGCTGGCTGGCTGGCCCGCGCCGCCGCTGCGCCACATGCAGGTGTGGGCCCTGGCTCAGCGCCCTGGTTTAGCGCCCAACCTTGTGCTTGCTTTCCACGCGCGACCCGCGCCCCCACCGCCGCTCACGCTTCCTGTTGCTGCCTTGCCTCCATGCCAAACCGCAGCGTCCCACCGCCAGCGGGGCCTGGGTGGCAGCGCCCGTCGGCGCGGCGCAGTGCCAGCTCAGCGAGGCTGCCGAGGATGAGGAGGCGCTGGATGAGCAGCAGCTGGCTAAAGTGGACCCGCTGTCAGGTGGGCTTGCCTGCTGCCACTGACAGCAGCACTGATTGCAGCGCTCGCCCTGCCTGCCCTCCTGCCTGCCCTCCTGCCAGTGCTGCGAGCCTCGCTGTGCTGTAGCGCCGGCTGGCTCGGACCCGCCGGTGCCTGCCGCTGCTTGCCTGCAGGCCTGCTGCACATGCAGCTGCTGGAGCGCGTCGCGTATCTGCTGGGGGCGGCCGGAGCAGCGGCGGCGGCAGACCCCCTGCTCTCCATCCTCATCAGGTGAGCCCTCGTGCCGGCTGGGCGGGGGTGTGCCTGGCTGCGCCAGGGGCCGTCTCTTGCAGCAAGCAGAGGAGGGGCAGCCACCTTGCCTCCCCGACATGCCGCCGCACCACACGCGCGCGTGCGCGATGCGTGCAGGTGCTGCCAGGCTGGCAAGGATGTGGCGGACCAGGTGGTGGCCACACCGGGCATGCTGGACGCGATCAAGGCTGTGCTGGATGCCCCCCCGCCTCCTGCGGCGGCAGGCGGTGGTGTGGTGGCCGCAGAGGGCGGCGCCGCCGGTGAGCCTGCGGCCCCGTGCTGCGGGTGCTCGGCACCAGGATGTCGCTGCTGGACATGCCTGGTTGGCGGGTGTGGCAGGCTGGTGTATGGGGCGCCAACCGCCCGCCCGCCTCCCATGCGTGCTGCCCCGCGCAGGCGGGGCGACGGCAGCGGCGTTCCATGCGGGCCGCCCCAAGGCGCTGCGCCTGCTGCGCCAGCTGGCGCAGGCCAGCAAGGCCGCCGCGCGCCTGCTGCAAGAGGCCGGCCTGGTTCGCTTTGCGCTGGAGCATCTGCTGCGCCCGGCGGCGGCTGCAGGGGCAGGCGGGCCGGGGCAGGCGCCCGCCAGCAGCGGCACAAGGCGGCGGGGCCAGCTGACTGAGGCGCTGCGCCTGTGGCGCTGCTTCGCCCAGCACGGCTTCTACCTGCTGCTGCTGGATGATGCCTACCCTTCCCTCTGCACCTCCTTCACGCCACAGCTGGCGCCGGCGGCAGCGGCGCAGCCGGCCGCGCTGTCGTGCGATGAGCTGCAGCACTGGTGTGTGGCCAGGGAGGCTTACTCCACAGCAGCCCAGCTGTGCTGGCATGCCGCGAGGTGAGAGCCAGGCGCCCGCCTGGTGCTGTCTCTGCTTTGCTGGTGGCGAAGGGTGCCCTTTTGCCTTGCTTAAGACGCTGTGGGCTGCTACCCCGCCGCCTTTGCTGCCGCCCCCACAGGTGTGGTCCACACGACTCGCAGCTCAGCCCGCAATGCGCTGCGGCACTGGCGGGCGGCGCCTTGAGCTGGCTGGGCCAGCTGCCCCTGCAGCAGCTGCTCGAGGCCTACAGCACCAGCGCCATCACCGGCAGCCAATCACTAGCAGCAGGCGAGGTGGGGGCGAGGAGCGGCCGCAGCCCGTACCCAGCGCTCGCAGCGGCAGGCGGCAGCAGCCAGCAAGCTGCGGTGCTGCTGGGCACGCTGGCAGCAGCGCTTCACTTTGTCGGCAGCTACTGGAGCGTGCAGGTGTGGCACACGGCAGCCGAGAAGGCAGCCGCGGCGGGCCGGCTCGCAAAGCTGGGCTTGTTGCCAGCACACAGCTCCGGCACCAGCGCTGGTGCAGCCAACGGCGACAGTGAGCAGGGCCTCTCCGTGCTGGAGGCGGTGAGGAGCATTCTGCAGCAGCTGGTGTCCTCTGACGCCGCTTGGGCAGTGCCATCTGCGCTGCCACAGCCCATGGCAACACCTGGCATGGTGCCCGCAGCCGCTGAGCTGGCCGTGGCACTCGCCAGGCTGGCTGCCACCTTCCTGCCACCACCCCAAGCGGCAGATGCATCTGCCAGCCTCCTGGCGCCGCTGTATGGCCAGCGAGGGTCTGCCAGGTTCCTGGCAGCTGCTCAAGCAGCAGATGCCGCTGTGTCGCAGCCCTGGGACGTGGCCAGGCAGCTGCAAGTGCTGCCCCTGGCGCGCGCAGCCGCCCTAGGGTTGCAGGCAGCTGGCCGTGCAAGCACCAGCGATGGCGGGGTTGCGCCCCAGGCACAGCACTGGCCTGCAATAGCAGCAGCAGACACCGCGCAGGCATTGCTGCGGCTCCTGCCAGCTGGCGAGGAGCTGCTGGCACTGCAGCTGATGGCTCTGCTGCTGGGGCCACAGCACCTGGCGGTCACGGCGGCAGCAGCAGCGGCGTGTCTGCAAGCAGAGGCAGCAAGCAATACAGGATTGCTGGCAGCTGATGGCCTGGCAGCGGATGGCGGCCAGCAGGGCGCCAGTCCACCGGCCCTGCCAGACGCCCGGCAGCTGTCCTCGCTGCTGCTGGCTGGCTACGCAGGTGCCTGGCTAGGGATGGTGCCGGAGAGCCAGCAGGAGGGCAGCCAGGAGGGCCGGCAAGTTGCAGCTGCTGCGCCGGCTGTGGAGCCGCCCTCGCCAACCGCCTTGCTGCGGCCGCAGGGTGAGGTGGCAGGCGTGCTGCCTGTGCCTGGTTTGAATCGCTCAAAAGGTTGCTCCAGTGGGAGAGGCTGGCTTTTGAACACCTGGGTGACTCCTGCCTGTCAGAAGCCTGATGTTCGTTTGCTCATTGCTTCACCGCACCCGCCCGGCTGCTGCAGGCTCGCGCCTGCCGCTGCCGGCAGACTGGATGCTGGAGGAGGCGCCGGTGCCGCCGCCAGAGGCAGGCATTGCTGCGGAACCGGCAGTGGCTGCCGGCTTCGCCCTGCTGCTGGCGCTGGGCTGGGAGCAGCAGCAGCTGAGCAGCCTGGCGGCCAGGCCGTGGCCGGCGGGGGCAGCAGAGAGCAGGCTGCGCCTGGCCGTGCTGCTTGTGTTTGGGGACTGGGCGCAGGCGGCAGCAGGCGGCGGGTTTGTGCCTGGCGCTGCGGTGGGGCAGGGCGAGGAGTTGGCCTGGGAGCAGCCGCTGGCGCGCTGGTGCCTTGCAGCCCTGATGCAGCGCTACTGCCCCGCTGCCGACGCAGCCGTCAGCAGCAGCACCCCGTCGGGCGCGGCAGCAGGCGGCGCAGCGGTGGGCGGCGCGGGCGAGCGCGGCTGGCAGCAGCAGGAGGCGCGCCAGCTGGCGCAGCACTTTGCTGCCGCCAGCTACGGCGACCGGCTGTTTGGTGCCGCGGTGGCGACGCTGCTGCGGCGCACGGTGCCGCTGGATGTGGCGGTGGGTGGGGGCGGGCGCTTGTCACCCAAGGCTGCTGCCCTCCATGCCTGCCTTCTCCCTCCTTGCTGCTCGGGGGTGTGCTGCTTGCCGGCCAGCACGGCAGCACCATCAAGCACTCTCCTGCCCGTCCTGTGCCTGCCCCCGCAGCTGGAGGTTCTGTCCACCCTGGCGGACGAGCAGGCGCTGCACCTGCTGCCCCCGCTGCGCCTGCTGCCCGGCCCGCCAGCAGTCTACCTGGATGCACCCCCTGTGGGGCACGCACCCGGCGGCGGCGGCGGCGGCGGCGGCTATGGCCGCGCGTGCTTCGGGGCTGGCGTGCCCGGCACGGACGGCAGTGGCGGTGGCGGCGGCGACAGTGATGGCAACGGCAGCGGCAGGAGCAGGCAGGAGCTGGACTTGTATGTGAAGCTGCTCAGCGAGGGGCCCCTGGAGCGATGCCTGGCTGCTGCCAGCAGCGGCAGGGAGGGGCGCCGCGGCGGCAGCGATGGCGACGGCGGCAGCTTGACCGCCTGCTCTGTGGCCGTGCCGCTGGTGCTGCACCGCCTCGCCTGCGCCTGCTTCCCAGGCGCGGCGCGGCCAGGCACGGCGGAGACCGCTGCTGGGCAGGCGCGGCGGCAGGCGCTGCTGTGCACCATCGTGCAGCGCTGCGGCGAGGGGTGCGGCAGCGGCGGCGGTGGCGATGGCGCAGCCTCTGGGCGGCGCCCGCTGCTGCAGCTGCTTGGCATGCTGCTGCGCTGGGACGCCGCTGCGGGGCAGCCCTCAGGCGCCGCCAGCCGGGAGCGGGTGACCGCCGTTGAGGCCGCCTGCGCCTCGGCTGGCACGGATGCAAGCGCCGTGCTGCAGGCAGCGCTCGAGGCGTGAGCGCCGCGGCAGCCCTGCGTCGGCCGCCGCCTGCCCCTGCCTGCGCCTGCCCGCCTGCCCATCTGCCCGCCTGCCTGGAACCTGGGGTGTTGATGCATGCATGCGGTGTAACACTCGCGGTGCCACGCCAAGGCAGCAACACACACAACTGGAGCACCACGCGTAGCATTGGAAGCAGGAGGCAAGGAACCCAGCTCCCCAGCGCCGAGGATCTCGCGTCGTCCCTACTTGCGACTCTTCTTCTGCGCCTGCTTGAGCTTGAGCAGCCCCGCGCTCTGTATCCTGACCCCCTTGCCGCACAGGCAGCTGATGGCCTCCTGCTCCGGCACCGCGCGCAGAAGATCTCGCTCCCGCTGGCTGGCCTCGCCGCCCTTGAGCAGTAGCTCGGCGGCCTGTGGGGCATGGGTGGAGGGGTGCGCGGGGCGGGCAGCGCTTGGGCAGGATTGATGCCGAGCAGGGGTGCATGCCAGGCAGGCTCACGCACGCCCGGCCCAGCCTCGGGGGCCCCTGCTGCTTGGCCATACGCCCCGCACCCATGCCGCTGTGCCCACCGCCCGCCTGCCCTGCCCACGGCTCCCACCTGCCGCGCCGCCTTGCCCTTCTTCAGCGTTCCCGGGATGATTTTTACCTTGAACTTGAAAGACGCCAGCACCTGTGTGGGGGAGGTGGTTGAGGTGTGCGTGCGTTGGGGGCGAGTGGCGGGGTGTGGAGGGAGGGGGCGCGGTGCAGCGCAGCAGCGGCACATGGCGGCGCTGTCAGAGGGGGGGGCGGCAGGCGCACCTGGTAGGGTGCGCACACGGGCACCGCAAAGAGCAGGATGTCCTCGCCGCGCGGCACCCCCGTCAGCTGGTCCAGCTGCGCGCGGCGGGGGGGAGGTGGGGTTGGGCATGGTGGCGTGAGGGGTGACTGTGGTGGCGGGGCAGGGCCGGTCGCACACAGCATGCAGCGACCATATGCGCCACCCTCAGGCTGCGCCACCTCCACGGGCACCCCCCCCTCCTAGTGCCCTTTGTTGCCGTACCGCCACCGTACTGCCACCGTACCGCCCCACCTGCGTCAGCTTGTCCCGCTCCTCCTCCCCCAGCGCCTCCAGCTTCTCCTCCTTGAGCAGCGCCGCCACCTCAGCGGCATCATCCCCCCCGCCTGCCTCCGCCGCTGCTGCAGCATCATCGGCGGAGCCCTCTGCTGCCGCCTCGTCCTCGCCGCCGCCCTCGCCGCCGCCAGCAGGCGCCGCAGGGCCCGGCTCCCGCGCTGCCCCATCCCCCGCCCCTCCCTCTTCCTCCTCCTGCCGCCGCTCCTCCTGCGCGCCCTCGCCGCTGCCGCTGCCTGCCGCCGCATCCGACTGCTCGCCGCCCTCCTCGTGCTCCTCCTCCTCCCCCTCCTCCTCCCCGCCGCTGCCTGCCGCTGCCTCGGGCCTGGCGGTCAGCTTGGCAATGTCCTCAGCCGTGATTTCCTGCAAGGCCGGGCAGGGGCTGGGCACGCACCACTTGTCAGCCCACCGGCAGCGAGCAAGGCGAGCGTGTGTGAGGTGTGTGAGGAGCACTACGGAGGCAATGAGTGGGCAAGAAGGCGGGCGGTGGAGGCAGGCAGCCAGGCCGCGCCTGCTTGGGCAGCCCAGTGCGCTCCGCCTGGCGCGCCGCCACCCGCTGCTTGCGCTCATCCTTGCGCTGCTTGCGGTCCTTCTTCTGGCCTGCGGGGCGGCGCAGGCGGGCAGCCAGGGCAGACACGTCGCGGGGGGGCAAGCTGCGAGCCGCAACGGTTGTGCGGCACAGCAACAGGCATGGCGCCGTAACCACGACAACCGTGCGCATGCGGGCGGGGTGCGCCCAGGGCCCACCTGCCGACTGCAGCAGCTGCATGGCCAGCTGCCGGTCCTGCTCATCCTGATCCGCATACTTGTCCCGCCCGCCGCGCTTGCCCTTGCCGCCGCCGCCGCCGCTGCCGCCGCGAGCCTTGGCCGCCGCCGATTCCGCCGCCGCCTGCTGGCCTGCACCGCTGCCCTTGTCCTGCTGCGCTGCTGCTTTCTTCCCGGCTCCGCCGCCTGCCTGCGGCGGCTGCGGCGGCTGCGCAGGCTTGCCCTGCTGCTGCTTCTTGAGCAGCTGCCGCTCTTTGGCCGACAGGTGGCGCCGTGAGCCCTCGCCGCCCGCTGCCGCACCCGCGCCCTCGCCCCCCTCCTGCGCCTCCTCGCCCGCTGCCGCCGCCGCTGCCGCCCCTCCTGCCGCGAGCGTGTCGGACAGGCCGTACCGCTCAAACGAGGCGGCCATTGCATCCGTCGCCGCCGCCGCCGCCGTGCCGCTGCCGGTGCTGCTGCCTCGCCGCACCGAGGGTGCGGAGCCGGCGGCGCCGCCTCCCGCCAGGCTGTCGGCAGAGGCATCCAGGAAAGCTTCCAGCGCGCTGGGAGCAGCCGCGCCGGCGCTGCCTCCCGGCTGCTCCTCCTCCTCCCCCTCCTCCTCCTCGCCATCCTCGCCGCCGCTGCTGCCCGCCTCCTTTTCCTCTGCGGCGCCGGCTGCGGAGGCGTCGTCCGGCCGCAGCCGCGGCGCGCGCTCGCCCATGTGCGCCGGGATGCTTTCCTCAGCCAGCCCAAACATGTAGCCGTAACCCATGACCAGCGGCTGCAGGAGCAAGCAGTGCGGGAGGGGGGGGAGGAGGTGAAGTCGGCGGGAGGTGCCGGCGCGGCGGGTGCAAGGGGGGTGGAGGCAGGCCTGGGGGCGCAGGTGGACGGTCTGCAG